GAACCACACAAAAAAGTGATGTTGTTCTGCCACTGTAAAGCTGTTACACTCTGCTTTATGTTTTCATTGTTATGAAAAGTGGTTTACACATAAAGTTAGTGTTCATATCATTTTCAGTCTTCAGTGTTAATTTATCACACCGGACCAATGCTGCAAATCTGCAACATCCCAGAACACACTGGATCTCAAAAAAAAAAAAAAGAGTCAGGATTGTATATTACTACCCCATATGATCATTTTCCCCAAATATCACATTTTTTCCTGTTACAAAAATTTTATTTGAGCCTGAGAGGGTTAAGACGTAGCATTTGGTATTGGTGTACTCATAAGTTAAAGGGATAGTTTGGGTTTTTTGACATAAATCTGTATGTCATCCCCGTGAGCAGTGTCGTGCATCAACACTGACTTACCCCCGACAGCGTCCAGTGAGCCGAGATACTGGCCGTTTTCGGTGCTGACAAAAGTAGTCCGGCAAGTTGTCTGGGGACAGTATAATAAAGTGTTTTTCTTCTCAAAACAACATGTGTTCAAAAGAGTGATACATCTGCATCACAAAACCATCGTCCTCCAAAAAGTCATAATCGCTTGGCACTATTTTCTTTCCGTTCGTATCACTGCGCGCTGCCGCCAGGTGACAACCGCGCACGGATCCATAACTTTGTTCAGTTGTTCTCCAGTGTTTACATGCGCAGACCGCCGCGACGCGAGAGAGCTCATGTGAGAGTTAGAGCCATAAGTATATAAGCTTGTATAAGATACATAAGAATATATCTAAAAAATGGTGCAAACTCTTGATTATCCAGACTGTGAACCAGGACAGTGATACGAACGGAGAGAAAATAGTGCCAAGTGATTATGAGGTCTGACTTTTCAGGCGACGATGGTTTTGTGATGCAAATGTATCACTCTTTTGAACACATGTTGTATTGAGAAGAAAAACACTTTATTATACTGTCCCCAGCCAACTTGCTGGACTACTTTCGTCAGCACCGAAAACGGCCAGTATCTCGGCTCACTGGACGCTGTCGGGGGTAAGTCAGTGTGGATGCACGACACTGCTCACGGGGATGACATACAGATTTATGTCAAAAAACCCGAACTATCCCTTTAAACATGTGGGAATGAAACAGAACTGAACAACATTATAGTTAAAAGAATAGGCCCCATTTACAACAATAATAATAATAATAATAATACATAGCACTTGTGTGGAGCTTTTCATGACACTCAAAGATGCTTCAAGTTTCACAGTTCAAGCCAGACAAAACACAAATGAAGAAACAGACAAAAAGGAACTTAACGCTTAAAAATATTTCCATCCGAAATGCCAAACTAAAAAGGGATTTCAAACAGGAGATGCTTCCCTCGCGTGTGCCCGTCTCCTGCTTTAGTGTACTGTGAGTGGATGCCCGCCCTCTCCCCTCTGTTTCCAGGCGAAGGAGACATCTGAGCATCTCCCCCTATTTACCCAATGAGCGTAATTAGCATTGGCGCCTGACGCGGGGCCCGGCTAACTGATGTGATAAGCACCTTTATACTTTCATCTTTTGCTTTAGCTCTGTGTGTTTTAATTGCCCGGCCTCTCTTTGAAAGCGAGCCTCGTGTTAGCGCCGCAGCTGCAGGTTGGCTGGATCCCGGGCCCGCGCTTGTTGTTGTGTGTATTCTTTGTGTTGGTGGGCCAGCGAGCCGTGTCTTTTGAACAGCGTGTGGTAATTGAAACAAAACAAGGCCTCATTAGGGGAAGCGTCTGGCTAAACTCTCCATGCAAACAGCTCAGGAGGGCCCCCGCGTCGACACAAGAGCGCCCCCCCGGAATAAAGTGGTCATCATCTAATTAACACTACACGTTTTAATTACGGAGCGAACCATGCGGCACGCTCTGTCAATTTAACTGATGTGCTAAGTGCCCGGTTTACAATATCCGAAATAGACAAATAATTGGGATCTAATTACAAGCAGGTCGATTGCACAGCAGCGCCCGCAGCCGGTCTTAATAAACAAATTCTGACATCAAACCGCGAATAGCAAACAGTGGGAATGTTAATTGTCTCCATGTTGGGAGTTTGCCAGATCAGAGTGAGGAGCGGGGAGCAGAATGGATGAGGCTGTGTCTGTCTGTAATTACAATCAAGTCAGAAGCCCATTTGTTTTTGTAGTCTGCTAGTGATAAATAGAAGGGCAGATGCAGCAGGTTGGATAACGCGCGCAGTTCAAACATTTGTGGAAGTAATCCGTGTTTTGTGTCAAATTAAAAATGACGTAATAGTGATTAGCGTAACAAGCGTTCATATACTGGAGATGGCATTAAACTTCCCAATATACATCAATATACACAGTAGGGCTGGGTATCATTAAGAAGTTACCGATACGATACATACCCCGATACATAGGCCACGATACGATACATATCTCGATACAGTGCACTTTGATTCGATATGATATATTTCAAAACGATTCAGTACAGTTCAGTAAAAAATAAAGGCTAAGTCATGGCTGCGATACTAAAAGTCTGGTAACACTTTATAATAACTACACCTTATTTAGCCTTAATAAAGCATGAACAAAGACTTAATTAATAATGATTCATGCTTAGTAACTACTTAATTACTACCTGAATTAGCACTTAAGTGGCACTTAATTCGCCTGTGCTGTAAATAGTTACTCAATACTTCTTAATTACTCATGAACTAACCATTTGCATGTTTACAAATGCATATTTAAGTTCACATTTGAACATTTATTAATGATTAGTAAGTTATGAGAGAATGATTAATGATTTAATAATGTAATACAATGATCATTCAGGCAGCTGTTTTCTGTTAGTTAAGTCTTTCTGAGAGTTTTTCTAAAGTGAAGACTAATTATGATTTATTAAGCATTTGTTAAGGTTGGTCAAATTCCAGAGAAACAATAATGCATTACTAGTAAATCATTCTCTCATGGCTTATTAATCATTAATAAATGCTCAAATTTGTACTTAAATATACATTTACAAATGTACACACAAATGGTTAGTTCATGAGTAATTAAGTAAGAAATACTTATGAGTAACTATTTACAGCACAGGTGAATTAAGTGCAAGTTAAGTGCTAATTCAGGTAGTAATTAAGTAGTTACTAAGCATGAATCATTATTAATTAAGTCTTTTTCATGCTTTATTAAGGTGAAATAAGGTGTAGTTATTATAAAGTGTTACCAAAAGTCTTTGTTAAACCACTTCTTGTGCAAAGTTAAAATGAAAAACACCCATTTTACTCGTCAAAAAAGTGGAAAATGTCAAATGTGTCGCATAAACAAGCAACAAAACTGTAGCGATGTAACAAAATAATTTAGTAAAATATACCAAAAAATACTTTTGGCGATATATCGAGCAGCCCACGATATTGATACTGTATCATCACTTTAAACGATACGATATATTGATATTTTTCAATATTTTGCACACCCCTAATACATAGCCAAGTTTCCAGGTCATATCTGTGGAAAAGGAAGTCTGCTCACAGTAAAAATACATGTTTTTCAGTTTTAACTGAAAAAAAAAAAATCTTAAAAACACATTATTAAAAACACAAAATCTGACCAATAACATCAGGACTCAATAGGTGCTATACCCCCACCAGAAAAAATGACACCTTTCAGTAAGGGTAATATGTGTGAGTCTTCATTTATGGACTGAATTCCTCACTGGCTTTTAGCATCTTCAGTATACATCCATCATATGGTGATTCCAAACAGCCCTTTTTGTTTGAATTTTGACTTTAGCCACACTTTTTTCTCATTGACTGAACCTGAACAACACAAGATGTTTTCTGGAGTTGGTCCGTGTCCTACGGTTATCCTTATTCTCTCTTGACTTTCTCTTGACCCTGCTTCTTGTCAGGAGCAGCATGCTACCTGACTAAAAGAATAATATCTATGGATGATTTAACTTTTATGTGAATATGTGTACACGAAAAGGAATCAGTTTAACCATGACAATATTTGTTAGGAAGTAGTTTTCAGATGTGCATGTGGAGAACAAAGTAAGTGAATGGGGCCTAAACATGTCATGTCGTCAGTGTGTGATTTAGCGTGTGGCTGCTATGGGCTGGTCCTGTCACTGCTCAGTATATCCACGGCCTTATTAATATTTCATGCACCTTTATGGAGTCTAATCATATCACATGTTAATGCCTGTGTGGAGTTGTGATGAATTTATGTGATTGGACACAAACAGCTTCCATTAGAGTGTGTTCGCTGTGCCATCAGTGTCAGAACAACAAGGCCGCTCGGCGTGAATCCTCTGAAATACAGCCCGCGGAAAGACTGCTTATGATTTTATATTGTTTCCATTAAATCTTGTCTCTCAAAGGCCTTAATTAATAACACTTGTGACATTTATGTTTAGCAGCAAGAAGCTCTGCACCAAACGATTTATGTCACCTAAAGCTTTTTAACAAATCAATGCAACTGTTTGTAATTGCTTGTTTCACAAGATTAAAAGTGCTTAGGCCTGATCTCTGCCTGGTGTTTAGTGGCCAGTGTGACCTGCGTCCTGGTCATAAAAACATGTGGCACTGGTGCAGCATTAGCCCCTTCACCAAATCCATACTGCTATTATTTCTGTGATTTTAGTGCTTCCACAATTTATAGCTAGTCAAATGCAGTTACCTAAATTGCTGTAAGGAAGGCCGTTTATCTGTCTATTTTTAATTACAAGATAATTTAGGTCTGAGCAAGATGAAGGTGACAAACAAGAGCTGCGTTCAGCCAATTGAATCAAAATAAAGAAAGTCTAATAAGTTTAGGTTATATTTTGTTATAGTTTTCCAGCCGTAAGCTTTGTGAGTGATTAACAATTTCATATCATTTATAATGGGATTCAGTGATTTCAGATTCATTCAAATCATACTGAATCACCATGCAACTTTCTATTAGTAAAGAGGTTTAAAGCTTTTAAGGCTCCAGCATATAAAATGTATTTTTTATATTATAGAGGAAGAAAAATCAACAACCAGATCTCTGATCAACCAGCATTTTATTGCATGTTTAGAATGCTCTGCTTCAGACGCACCCGGAATGATCAAGATGGAGGTGAGCATCAGAATCTCAATAAAAAACAGCAGAAAGAAACAGTATATTTTCAAAAACAGAAAGGGAAGAATGATTTGCATTGGCGTGACAGACCCCTCCCCCGCTTTATGGACCGCTCTGTGAACGAGGGACCATGGACAGTCACTGGTGCAGTAGAGGTGTGGGCGGAGCCTCTGGTCCAGCAGACACACCTCTATCACCATGTGACCCTGCATCACATACAAATGATAAGAACTGGATAAAAAGCCAGAAACATCACTTTGAAGCATATCTGAATTTAGATTTCAGTATTATAATTTTGAAATTATTAGACCAACTTGAGATTTTGTTACATAGTCACAGTAAACGTGGCATTTTGTAAGATTTTTCAAATCTATGTTCTTTGGAATGTAGTGTCTTCTCCTATTTGTGTCTGACAAAAGCCACTAATTTGAGTATGAAATCCAGTTCTCATGATGCATCCATGTCTTGACCTTTGACCTGTGCTCGACTGAATTTTCTGTGCTTGATAGGACTCATTTACAATGACCCTAAAGTCAAAAAGAAAGAAAATATGTACTAGAGTTGTGGCATGGATGAAACATCTTTGATGCATAAATGAGGGAACTCTCCAAGAGAACAAAAACAATGTTTAACAATATTCTTTACATCTTGGCACTGCATATTTTTCTTCATTTTCCTATTTATTTCATATAAAATAGTAGAATGTTACACCCTTATATTATTACTGACCACTTAAACCCCCGTTCTGCTGTGACCCTGGGATAAGTCATGCAAGAAGTCTCAATCCTCACTGAGACGCACTTAGAGCACACGGCCGACAGAAGGCAGTGCTTGGACCTTTAAAAGGAAGTATCAAAACAAACTAAAGAAAATCTATACAAAATGCTTCGGTCAGTGAAAACAGAGAAAATCTGTCTATATTACAGCTGCCCCAGCCCCGCTCACCCACAAGTCTGCTTAAAGATAGCTAAGTAAAATACATTTGCAGCACAGTTTGCTATATCCAATACATACAGTAGTTTTCTCATAGCTATTTCAGGTAATACAAAGGCATAAGCAAACATCATAACACAAATGTATTTTCAGATAAAAAAGTGACAGAAGAGACGACAGGAGAAGACAATGCAGACATGTATGTACAACCCTCCAAAACAACCCAGTGGGACAGGATACAGCGTGTCAACAAAAAGCCTGAGATCTGAATTGGACTACTCATGCAATACATACAGCCAAGTGCAAGTGAGTGAAATGTTCTTTTTTCTGCTTAATTGAGTCATTCCCTATAGGTTTGAACTGAGGTATGCACGCTAACCGTTTTCTCATGCTGTTATCTTTAGTAATGTCAGGCTGCACATGCTGAGAATGTTTGGACTCGACCAGCGCCTCCTGCCCCGGGATGTGAGTGAGGTTTGGGGAGAGCTCGCCCCTGTTCTCACGGTCCTGCCCCAGCCCCACTCTGCACACTGCTCACAAGTCCTTACCTAAGCAGTAAAAGAAGAGATGAATCAAATTGTATAGGTAAAAAAAAGGACTGGGGCATTTTTAGAGTTGACAAATGACATAAAAAAATAAAATAAAATGCTGGCTTCATTCCCACTACAAAGATATGAAACTGAACTCTCCAGAATAATAACTGGCCCAAGGGTAACTTTGTGGAAACATCTTGTCAAAATATCTTACTGACTGAACTGATCACTATTTAGAATACAGTTTGTAATGCATACATTCTGAGATATATTGTGTTTATGAATACAGAACCATCAGGCAAAACCCCAAAAACAATATTTCTGATTCGGGCTGCTTTTGAGGCTAGTGTGAAAAACTATTTCCTGCCACAACAAAACATTTTTTAAAGATACAAGGACATTGATTAAAAAATAACTTGGTGGAATTTGGTCATAATTTTGTTTTGTCAACTGTTAGCAGACTTTTTTCACTTTTGGTCACTCCAAACATTGGTACAGCTGTCCTGTCCCATCAGACCTTCAGCCTTTTGGTTTGAACAAAACTAATGAGAACATTTGAGGAGCTCTTTCCACCACCTCATCGTTGGCTCCACACAGCAACTGACACATCCAATGGACCAGATATATTTGGCCTAACCTGCTATTGCAGTACAGACATAATCTTTGGTAGTCACAGGTATTCCAAAAATATCAACAATAAAAAATATTAAAAATACTCAAAATAATAAATAAGGAAAGTGGTTGATTGCAGTCTAGGTATTGTGGTCTTTTTAGGATTATGATGTAACCCATACATGATTTGTTTTTGGATGAACAGAACTCTTAAACCAGGTCTAAAAGTGTACTAATTCTTTTGTATTTACTCATTTTATTTTTTAATTTTACTTTAATTAATTCTGTACTTACATAACATTTATGTGAAAATTAAAACGCAGTAGTATTAGTACACAAGTAGACCAGAGCTTTAAAAGACTGTACTCTCGGTTTTTGGCTGGAATGTGCAATAATCTGGTCTTTTCGTATTGCAGGTATTTGGCGTTTTACTATGAGTAATATGAGTATTTCATCTTTGTACAGTTAAAACACAAAATATCCATGCATGAGATGTAAAAAAACTGAAAAAAACAAAACAAAAAACAAAACTGAAAAACATCACACACAGGGAATGCACGTCCTCGACCCAGTCACATCAAAGCATGGAAGAAACTAGTTTGATTAACTGTTCGTTTTCAGAATCACAATTAGCTGGTCTAAACCATTATACCTGACGTTTTCATTCGATTTTTTTTTTTTCTCTTAAAAAGCCTTAGACGGTGATCAGAAATTGTGTTGCGGCTAAACGTGCTCTGCCGTGGAGGGGGCCTGTTTTAAAGTACAATTTCATAAGGATAAATCATAACCTGCATGATTTCTCTGTCATTCATTGGCATCTTAAATTAAACTTCATTGATGCGTGGAGAGAGCCTTCATTACGGGGTAGTGCATCGCCGGCGGACTTTTGCGAGCGGGAGGGCGAGGTGCAGGTGGTGTCAGGGCGACGACTCGAGAAAATACTAGTTGGTACGTGACATTCGATTACGTTTTTTTTTTTTTTTTTTTTAAAGACAACAAGCAAGGATAAAGAAATCAACATTCATTATCAAGTGCTGACCACAGAATCTCCACAGCTTGGGCATGAGGTCTGATCCGTTTCAAGAGACAACACAACAAATAAAAAAAATAAAAAAATAAATGATGCCACATTGATAACAGCATGAACGACAGAAAATAGACGCAAATGATATCTTTTATAATCTATCAACCTCCCAGAAATAAAGAAACACCCCACCCACCCAACATGGAATCAAACCAATGAGAAGTGTTGAAGGCAGTGACAATGAATACACACTTGCTCTCCCTCTTGGTGTAAATTAAATGTCACTCAATTCTCTCTTGAGCGAAAGATAGAGAGAAAGAGAGAGAGAGAGAAAAGGAGGGGGAGACGTGACACCCCTTTGCAGTCCAGCGGTGCAGCAGTCCATCTTTGGCTGCATGGCAAGAGGGGCAACGTCACATGGGGCAATTCTGACCACCAAAACTGCCCGTACCAAAATATGTCCATGTGTAGAAAATAAAAACATAGAAAGTAATCAAAAAACAAAGCCGTCTTAGGGCTGTCATAGGTCTCTCTAATGGCACAAAAAGTTTTTTGGAAACTGCAGTTCTGCTTTTGCCCTGCTCTGATACAGTGTCCTGGGCAGGTGAGACAGACGGCAGGTGCCTACAGCATGTCCTCGTGTCCTGGCTCATCATCGTAGTCCCTGTGGTGGTCGAAGTCCGGACTGTGGTTGGCAGTCGTTACTAGGGACAACGGGCCTTCGTGGTCATCAGGGTCCAGTGGTTCCTCCTTAACGCTGATGTGGTGCCTGCAACACACAGAGCAATTTGTTTCAATTGTATTTCAGTGTAAAATGGGAGTAATAAAGAACTGTAAGGTGAATGTTCATCAAAATTGATCAAGTTGAAACATCAATATAATGTATTTATATACATCTATATTTCAGATCCCTGTGTAAATTAGCTGTGCCATTGAATATTAAGTGACTAGTTTTTGTTTAAAAAGTAACATTCAATATTATTTGTGTCATATTTGGTGCTTGGACATACAGTGACCAATATGGTTAAAACTGAGCTTCATCTGCCCTGCTAATATGAACTCTAAAAAGTATTTGACGAATGTTGCCAGTGCTGCACTGTAAACATTAATAACCTGAGAGCAGGCTGTGCACAGAGCTCCAGACCTGGGCTTTCTGTTTATAAAGAGGAAACAGGGGAACAAAAACAAATGTCTGGCTCCGAGTAGAGGCCTCACTGGTGCTGATGATAATTTCAGCTTCCTTTTGAGCTCTTCCAATCCCTGTAAAGCTGCGGGCTTTTTATTTTGGTGGCAACCGACAACAGGGTATTCACTTAGAATTGATAAATGAGTTAGATTAGCAGCGTGCGACGGTGACGGCCGCAGAATGGACTGTTGAGTCGTCAGCCTCCTGGTGGCGCGCTGTGTGTTCCCCTTCTGCTCATTAACATGCACAACCTGCGAGGCGGGTCTCAGGAGGACGACCTCGCATCGGCTTCTATCATTAATCAACTTCAAGAAAACACTGCTCCAGACACCAGCGTACATACTTTCAACTGCAGAATTAATGCATTTTTTCAGGCAAGTGTCAATAAGAGGGGAGAAAAGAGCTGGCAGGGAAGGCGCGCACACGGCACTACAGAGCGATAAGAAACAGAACCCTTAGGAGAATAATAACGCTGTCACTTGTAAACAAGGCAAAAACACGAGGCGCCCCTCTACCCCTCACTGAGCTTAAAAAGAGCCACTAAAGAGATGGGATCTGCCAAATTTCTCATTACAGAAACAGAGCAAGAATAAAGCGCAGGGAGAAAGGGAGAGACAGGAAGGAAAAAAGAGCACATTATGAGCAGCTGGAGGGGACGCTGCGCTCTAACCCGCGGTGCCAGGCTGCTGCAGGAGGCAGAGCAGTGTCACAGCAAAGCACCAGGCTCATTTACTACCACAACAAGGGACAGGCCCAGATCCACACCAGCTCAACTCTGTGATTATTGCCACAGACACACTCGTATGCTAATGAGCACCGATATTTAAGAAGGGGAAAAAAGTGAAGTCAGCTTTTCGATCATTTTCACATCAAAGTAAGTCTACAAGTGGCATTGCCTCAGGACGGAGCAGCAGGCCGCGGGGCAGACATGAAATTGTTATTATGATGCGATTGAACTGCATGCTGATTCCACACTTCACTGTATAATTAGCCTGATACCTGATTCCTGTCTGCTAGTTTTTAAGAGAAGTGCTGTGCTTTACAAAGCTGGTTTGTGTCAAATAGCAGCTCTCTGCATGTGCAAAACACATGTTCAACACAAGACAGATTTTTTAAACATTAAAACTAATGATTTTATAAAAGTAATATTGTTACAATTAATACAATTTTACTTGTTATAATTTATAAAATTTAATGTAATATATAAGTTATACAATCATAAAACTGAATAGAAAATGAGTTGCTGGCAGAATCGTGCTATGTATTTACTGTAAGGACAAAGTTTTTAATCTTACTGCAAAAAGTACAATCTCCTGCTACCACTTCAATTCAAATTCCTCATTACTATTATGCATAGTATTTTATGTTCTACAACATGTATGTAACACAGTACGCAGATATAGTGATAGTGTCTATGCTATACAGTGTTGTCAGCCAAGTTCTTTAAAAGCAGGAGAAAATCCACAGATTAAAGTCATTTAGTCCCCGCACACAGAAGTGCCGAGTGTGTGCAGAGCCTAAAGATAGGCTCGCAGGGGCACAGGGAGACGCGGGCCGCCTCTGGGCCAGCAGCAGTACGCCCATCCTGTCTGTGCCTTTCCTGCTCCACAGCCACGCTCACAGCCATGTTCACTCTGATTAGGGATGGCACTTCTCCTCCATTTGGCCAACAGCTCATTACTGCACCTTTTAGTTTTCAGGCACAACCCCCCTCAGCCCTGTGGAGGGGGGAGGGAGGAAGAGGAGGAGGAAGAGGAGGAGGAAGAGGCCTTCCCTGATCCACTTGTACAGGCTGTGCATCGGTGGTCTGCCCCTCACATCTGGAAGCCATGCAAGCGTGCGCCGTATTATTTTAGGCTTCAAACAACTTAGCGCGCACTCCTTTTACGACAAGAGAACGGGGAGCTGCGGTTTTCCAAGCCAGACCGCAACTTTCCAAACATGAGAATCTTGGATGATTTCCCCTAGACTAATTACGCATTTGTGTTTTTATTTGATTTATTTTTTTAGAGGTGTTTCTTGATGCATTGCTGTAAGAACTCGATCATTTGTGTTCTGGCATTCTGTAAATATTGTGAACAATTGAATGGCTGATTAGAGTGAGGTGGAGACAGGCGGCAGGGTGCGTACAGGAGAGTTCATAAAATAACAGAGGGGGAAGCTTTGAAAAGGTGGAGTTTCCTTTCTGTGCCGAGGCCCGCCGCAGCTCTGGCCCTGACCCCTCACATGTCAACCCCACCCCCTGTTTTATTTATTGTCCCGCGTGCTTTTCATCTGCTCACACACATTAGTGCATTTCACTAACCTGCACTAGAAGAAAGAACTATTTCAAATATTATGAAGTGTTCAGCTTTTGTTTGCTCCTATTTGGAAACAACTGGTTTTGTTGTATCATGTAAAGCAAGTTCACAGGTGCAGACAGTTGGTGCCACTGTTTCTATGGTACTTTTTAGAGAAGCTATTTATGAGCTACATCAATGCAAAAAATACATCACAATAAATGCCATACAATATTAGACTAAATTAGTAGTTACCAGTACCAGAAATTTAAGTTTGTCTGTTAGTAACGCTAAAACAACTACTAGCAGCACTAAAACAACGACTAACAGCGCCAAGATAAACTAATCACTGAATACTGACAATATCAAAAAGCTTTTTGTTAGCTGGATTTTGTTTACTAGAGTCCAACTAGTGACTCTGACAGAATTTACAAACACTAGGGACACTACAGATAATGCTGTATGCTAAAACATTCATATAGACCAGAATGCCCTGAGTGAGCATTCTTTCATAAACATCTTGTGCTTAAAAGTGCACGTTTGAAAGTGAAAAACATAAAGACCGGTTCAAGAAACACCTGTGTTATAAACATCTGGGGATAAGGCTTCCCTAGCACCAGGTGGTCTAGGCTCACTAATACAGATGTGCACACAACTGTGAAGCACATATAACAGAAAGTATCAAGTGTCTACAAATGTTAACAATTTGGACAAATGATTTTTGTTTATCCTCTCTTTGTAAAGTGTAAACCATGGGCCACACAGGTAACATAACAGGTTCTAATGTTACAAGCAAATATATAACTATGTAACAATGATAAAATGTGTGTTTGATGGTTTTAAAAACATGTGGAATTGCCTAGCCTTTATGAGTTTTATGATTCTGAAGCTTATAAGTCTGTCTGAAGTGTGTGTGAAAGTCTCTCTGTTGTCTCCGTGGCAGCATTAGACTGTGCACTCACATAGCTGGCAGGGGCGAGCGTCCCGGGCTGCTGTCACTGCCGTTGCTGTTGCCATGGTCCAGCGCTCCGTTCATCTCCTCACGGATGGCGTTGGCCAGGGAGTTGAGGGTGGGACTTCCAATGGAAGCAGTAGTGTATAGAGGTATGTTGTTTTCTGCCATTGAAGCCTGAAAAGTGAAGCCCCAAGCATTAAATGTGAAACGGAAGAGAGTTGTCAGCACTTTCTTAGTTGGCCATCACTCTTGTGAGAGCAGGACATAAAAACAAAGAGTAGGAGACAAGGCGTGAGAGAGTGCAGAGTGAAGTTAGATTGTATTTTACCTGGAAGGCAGCAGAAAGAGTCGGACCATAGCCCAAACTAGTCTGGATGTTCTTCACTAAGGCCGGACTTCTGCAAACACAACAATTCAATTACAACCACATACTCATGTCTCTGCTCGCATGCATTCCTCTCCTGGAGGATCAGGTTTCATGAAGAGAAATCAATGCACTTTGTATAAGAACTAAAGACATTATAGCGTAGTAAAGTGGATAATAAGGCTATAGTTCTAAGTGTTCAATCACTTGACATTACCACACAACTATCTTGAACACAGTGAAGAGCAGAGAAGAGGAGGCTTATGAGGAAGCGTGATGGATGAGGGCTAAACACAAAAAGCATGATATGCACACAGAGGGCGGGGGCATGCAGGGGTGAGGGCCAGGGTGCTTACTGTTCTAGAAGCTCGCCAAAGATCTGGTCAGGGGTGAGTTTCCGAGGGCGACCTCGCCGCACCTGATGCCCGTGCTTAAATTCCGTATCATCAAGAGTCCAAAAGGACCCAAACCCATCCTCTACCCTCACAAAGCACCTATGCAGGGAAAGGTTGGTGCGAATGGCACCCTGGGAATGCAGCGGGCACAGGCAGATGCAGACAGTGACAGGACAGACACAGACACAGGGTGAGGAGGGGAGAGGCAAAATCAAACAGAGCCATGTGGTTATGAAGCATCACCAGCCTAGAAGCATGAAGGAGAGCTAGACCAAAGCAAGCAGGACTTGGATAATGTGGCACAGACAATGAGATGGAGCAGTGGTGACCTCTTCATCAGCCAATCAGAACACAGATAATAGGCCACACCTACCCACTGATCTTTTGAGGCCGTCTCTTTTGGAACTCTATTTCGTCCACTGTCCACACAGCCCCTTTTACGTTTTCTACTCGGACAAAACACTTGTGAAGACTAAGATTATGCCGGACTGCATTCTGCAGTTGGTGTGAAAAAGAGAGAAAAAGGAGTGCTATCAGTACATTACACATCTCTGCATAAGAAAACAGTCACTTCACAGGAAAAATATTTGGACAGGCTCTGAATCAGACCAGAAAGAAAACAATAAATAATCCAGGGCTGTTTTGGCAGGAAATGGACCTCAGGTTTCAGATGACCAAAACAACACATCAATATTTGCTGGTTTCCACAGCAACACTGTTGGGCTAATGACTTATTTTTATTTTCTGATTATTCAGTGTAAATATAACATTTGCCTCATATTGTATTATGAGTGAACCTGAAAGATAACTATTAAAACAATGACCTACAGTATAGGAGCTTAGAAGAGAGGTACAGAAGCATGTACAGAATGTATTGTTTTGAGAAATAATTCTTTTGCATTTAACATAAAGGTCTTTGTATTAGTCTGACTCATTTTAATATCCATCAAACGTCAGCAGCACAGACTACATCTGTGTGGTCTTGCTTTTGAAAAGCCACAGAGACAGATATTTTACTGTTCTGAAGTGCAGCCATGTTGTTTTTGTAAGTTGTTGTGCTGGAGACGTGTTTGTGGTCTGCTGGAAAACACAGTGTTCAATTCTGAAGTCATTGTTGAGGGGCTCAGCCAGAAGTCACTGGCATAATATTACTATGTTCAAGCTAATGCCACCCACTGCTAACAGCCCCTCTTTCTACTCCACTCGCTATTATTTTTACAAGAATGCACATTGCTGGTTTGTGGTTCATATGTTTGTCTAAAGGGTGGGGTCATCTGGGCATAATAAATGCACTATTGTTGAGTTATTATTATGACTTTTTGTTAAGGTCTGGATATCCTTTAATTCTGCTTTAAAAGCCAGTTTTAGTGAAAAGAAAAGTACCTTCCACGTTGCAGCATTGCGTCTGAAATATGCAAACATTCGTGTGAACCAGTTGTAGATTTCATTTAGTGTTAGCTGCTTTTCTGGAGAGTCCAGGATCGCCTGTGTGATGAAACATGACAGAAACAAACATTTAAGGTTATCAATAATTCACAAGCATGCAGTTTGTGTTGAGCTAAACAAGACTGGGGGAAAATGGCTCCTGGCTGTCTACCCCAAAAATGTTTGGTTGAGTCTCCTGCACTTTTAATTTCCAACTGGCAGATTTGAATATATTTTCTTGTGTGGGTATAAATGAAGGGCAAGGAAAAACATTTCTCAGGCAGATTACAGGGCAGCAATTATGGTTAGCTCAGATTAATTCCTATGATGCCAGATTACTGAGGCCTGGCGATAATTGACTGGCCATCTTAAAACAGGTTCATCCCTACTGTTGTGTGAAATGAATTTGGTAATAATCACAGTCACTGGAAGGTCTAATCAAAAACAAATGTCACATGGAGCTGTTTTGGGGAATAGTGTACTCATTCTTGCACTCATTTAATCTGCTCCTCTGCAAATTGTGTTTGAAATTTTACATACAAAGCAGTGTAGTGGACAGAACACATACTCCTGAGTAGACAAAGGCTAAAACCATATTGATTTGCTACCTTCATGTGTAGAACTGATATTACAATATGCATAAAACGATTAGCACAAGCAGAAAAAAATAAAAGAAGAATCTTACCTGTCTTATTAGTGAGGCATATGTGAATGGAGGTCTAACATCTGCATTCATGTAAAATTCTTTGTTTTGGCTGAGATCTGCACAAACATTCAATCAAGAGGACACAGTGAGTAACTTTATACTTCTCAAAACCCCACAATAAAAACAATAATGTAAAATAAAATGTATTCTAAAGGGTAGAGTTGATACGCAAAAACAGAAGATATTTTAAAAGTCATCGGAGGCATGCAGTTTAGTCTTTGTATAGTAATGTCCAGTAAAGCCATACTGATCCATCACTCCTTAAAATCCATAAAATTCACTACAAATAATTTTCAGTGATAATATCTGTAGAAGATGGTAACAAAAATAAAACTTTCTGACGTACTTTTAAAAACAAAAATATTTGTTTCTATGCTATAAACAAAAGAAGATGTGCTATGCATTGTACCTGGAGAGATGGGCATGTTGTATTTGTCAGAGTAGCGTCTTCGCATAGGCCCCACACTGTGCAGGCTGTTGGCGGTGATGACAGGGTGTGCTTGGGACAGAGGGGTGAGGGGGGCCGTGGGGGTGGTGGGCGTGTGCGGTAGACTCAGAGGAGGGGACGCCTCGGGGGCACTCTTGGACAGCGTGATGTTGGACACCAGGTTGAGCTGAGGAACACATAGATACAGATCCATGTTTATTATTATTAGTTATTTCATGTTTCATATGTTATGGGATAAGATGTGATTTGAGTATACAGTATCATACTTTTATACTATATTTTTTTCTGAATTTATTCACATTAAACATGTGACAATTGTCCTTATGAAATAAACACTACAATTAAAAACAAGGCTAATTTACAATGTCCGTCCCCAGGTCCCGGGGAGGTTATTATCATTATTATTGTTGTTGTTTTTTTATTCAAGGCAGATTGAGTACCTAAAGTAAAGAGATTTGATTTGCTTTACCATAATACAAACCAGAGACAATGATACACATGTGTATCTTAGTGGTGCATATCCTCATGCAATCTGATATCATCTGATGTGGTATTTATTTAAGCAGTAGCAATTTATATTGAGAATGGTGCCTTTTATAGATTTTTTAAAACAATTTCATTTTATCTATCTCTTAATGGCTTCTCTGGCACAAGAATTTGCTTCCAAATTAGTAAGTGAGTGATATCTGACAAGGCACTTATTTTAAAGAATAGCCATTCTTTTTTACATCTATTGGAAAAAAAGTAAAAGAAAAAAAAAAAAAAAAGTGACAAAAGGTTATGTAAAAGTGTGTGATGAGGGCTAAGGTAAAACACGGGCACCATACAGTATGTGTCCCAAACATGGCTGACAAATGATAGTGTTATTCTCACCTACCGCTGCGCACTGCTGCTAATAAGGCTCCTGGAGGAAGAGGCCAATCTGGGCTAATTACAGACTGAAATTGTATTGTGGAGACACTAATTAGAAGCTGCTTATGGAGGTGATCACATGATTAACAACTACCGGACTGACCTCTATGATCACAGCCATGCTAAAGATGAACTTTCTTATTTCATTCAATAACAGACTGCTGTGTATGTGTGTGCATGAATGGGAATAAGGGATTACAGTTATAATGGCTACAAGGTAAACTCATTTGTGCGAGTGGTCCAGAGGTGCAGAGAAGAGAAGCGCTGGTATGCTGTCCTGGAGTAGCAGTCAAACGGAAAATTCTAGTCTGACCGTACACTTCCAGTTATTAATTGGCAGCCAAACTGACACATCCACACATATAATCCCACAAAATTGTTCTAATTGCTAATTTGCCGAAAGAGGCCATCTTCCAAATCAAACCAGACTCTGGTGAGAGGAAAAGAAAGGAAGAAATGAAGAGTGGAGAGGATACAGCTCAGCTTTGCTCATGTGTTAAGACAGAGGAATTAGGTGATGACTAAGTTACAGACATAACAGGTCCTTTATTTTAGTGTGATAATGCTTAAAAAACAAACAAATCTATGTATGTGACTATTAGTGTAACATAAATATATAAATAAGTCATCCATGTATTCTTTATTCAAACTGAAATATTATATTAAACATTTCGCCACTTCATTTTGTCCTACAATGTTCATTTACAGTTTCTAATTTGCAAAACAATGTGATTATATTTTAATTACATTGAATATACTTTCTTATGGACTTGTATTTTTTGTTATATTTTTGTTTGTATGTTTTTATCTCAGTACTAATACATACACCAATAATTTATTTCAATGGCTGTTATCACTTACCAATTTACACTTGCTAAACTCAATAAATGTTTTTCTTACATTGTCTATTTACCCTTCTGAAATACAACAATGTTTTTGGCAGGATAGTCCCAAATATTTTGAATAAATGCTAGATGTACACACTGCCCACATCCACAGTAGGTGCTCTCCTGAATCACCCTACGAATCCTTGTGCTCCTCTGACACATTCCTATCAATGGACCCAGTGCTGTGGCGATGACTTTTCTTGTGGCGGATTAGCAGCCTTTGTTTTATGTTTCATCCATATTCCCTGGCCATAAACAGAGCAAGCCTTCAACAATAGGACAGACAGCCTGGTAATAGCCTCGCCTTTGTTCGCCTCACCATTTGGGCTCACTCCAGTGCCTAGACAAAATGAGACTTCAGACTGAAATTAATTAAATGGTAATTGGTGATCTAATTATACTGGCTTTGACTGTGCAAGCTGCTAAAGAAAATAAACAAAAGTCCCTCCTTAATTATGTATGGCGTAAAGGTCAGATTTCTGACAAGAATGCTTAGTGACACCCAGCGCAGACTCCCACACACAAACAGTGGTAATATGTTGTGTTGAGATCCGCCCCCTCTCACCTCAAAGCAACACACAGAATGCTGCTCATTTAACTCAGAGCAGCCTCTCCATCCGTCTGTTTGCCTTTAATTATGACTAAATGTAAAGCAGTACATTCATGGCAGATACTTTCCGGTGACAGCGGCTTTCTTATACATCTGCTAATGTTATGCAAAGACACAGCACAGTGAAAATGACAGAGAAAAAATAAATACATAGTGTAGACTGAAGAAAAAATGTGAAAACTGAAACTTCTGTTATATGACATCTAGATATTTTTAACTTGTTTGTTTATTCAGTTATTCCACAGATGAAACTCTGACCTGTATGAGCCAACCTCTCACTCTGCTTCAAGTGCGTTTCTCCAGCAGCTCACAGTCACTCGGCTCTGATCGCAGGAGGCTATTTATTTGAATAAATGTGCGGCGCGGTCCCCCTGAGAGTGCTAACGGTGCGCTCTGACACAGCCGCTCTCTCAGTCACTCTCCTGAGACACGAGGGAGATGACTGGAGATGCTATCTGCTGCCCCGGACACTTTTCATACACAAATGTCTTTATGTCACAGCCCTCATAATACTCCCTAATCAGCACTATCGAGCATGTGTGGGACACATGTAGAACACACTTATATCTCATATAACACTTACAACACATATAAAAATATCACACACTTTTTTATCAACTTGTATAGTGATTCTCCATCATATCTGTTGTGTAAAAACAGTGTAAGATCAATTTATGACTAAATTATCATAGACAATATACTGTGTTTAATCTTTAAAAAAGCGCAGTGGATAGAGGAAATTATTTCATGTTATTCAACAAATGATTTTTTATTATAATTATAAATAATAATTGTATATTATCTGAATCATTTAAATAACTGTCTTCAGGGTAAGGAGTTATCACAAACTAATTTGGTTTGAATTGTATATTTCTTTCCTCCTCAATAATATAAATTCACAAAGTTCTCAAAAAACGTCACCTTTTATACTGGATTCATTTATGTATAATTTTAAAACACGCAGTTCAAATATTGTACGTGAAACATCATTGTTGCTTATCATTAGATCAGTATTACTTTTTATCAGTGTTTTTTAAGAGAATATATCACATAAATGAGATTTGTTATTTGTGCTTGTGTTTGCCTCTTTGTTGTTTGTGCACATCTTTCATGGAGACAGAGGCAGTTGTGGAGAGTGCATTCAGTTCATCACAGACCCCAAATTGAATCTCACATGTCAGCAGATGTGCTCCAAACAATATTTAGTGTCTCCCTCCAGAGAACAGCTGTTTTATTTTAGCAGATAAATACGAAAGGAGAGGAAGGCATTAATGAATACATGTGTGCCAATTAAGACAAACAAAAGGGGCGGGGGAGGGGCACGAGCACTGACTGCGAGTGTGTGTGTGTGTGTGTGTGTGTGTGTGGGTGTGTGTGTGTGTGTGTGCGAGGGGGCGCTGCTCACCGGCTGTGGCGCGGCTTTGGGCTCCGTGGACTTGACATGAAGGTGCGTCATCATGGCCTGCAGACGCTCTTTGTCTTTCGCCAGCTGCAAAAAAAAAGAAAGAAAGCTTGTTTAGAAGATTTATAAATTACAATTCATAGTAGTTTACAATGGTACGTACAGACCTATTTTCATTTTTTTATAAGCCTGAATACAGCATGTTTGAGTCATTCTTATTAATATAATCCACAAACATGCACTGTCACACCATCATATTGTCATGTTGTTTCACCAATTTAAAATCTGCCTGCAATGCCTGTTTTACACCACACATATTATGACAACAAACACTATTCTGCTCTAGTCTAATTCATTTCTATGCCATCCGAGGCTGTCAACAACTCCGCTGCAACTCAAGGTTAAAATGCCCTTTGTCTCAATAGCAGTAACAAGGCCAAGGCTCACTACCTGTCCCAACTCAGCACTGTTTTAACTGCCATCTTAAATTATGATGAGGAGGTACATGGAGAGGAAGGGTGCGTCTGATAATTCTCTAGCGCGTCCCTCTGGATAACGCAGCCGAGCGGAAACAAGCGGCCGGTGCTTTGGTGGTGTGTAAATGCATGTGAACTCCACTTGTTTGGGGTTAACACACAACTGTTTTCTGGTTTCCTTCACATATACGTACATTGGCTTTTTTCTATGTATAATGGTTTTGAGTGGCTGAGATGTAAACTACAGGTGCAGGAGGTATGGTGCACATTATACAGTATTTGGTCCATGACAGTAGCTGGATCTCATTAAAGCATTTTTTTCTTCTTCTTTTTTTTTGCAATAGGAAAAGCACACATCATTTGCTAGTCTAACTAAAGACACCTGAAGAGCTAAGAGTTTTTTTTTTTTCTTTTTTATATCTAAGTGAAGTTTAGAATGTTACTTCCTGGCTGGACATGAGCTGCTGGTTTGACATACATAACTGATACATACAACCATAACAGCAACATGTCAACAAGATGAAGACTAAACCTAAATTCCACAATAGTTATTATTAGACTAATACAAATAAATGACAACATTCATGGATTTTTTTTGGTACAAATGAGTAATGGCTAATGACTAATGACTAATGACTAATGATAGGTAGAGGTATTGTGTTTTAGAACTCACAACTACTATTTTTGTACTTTTCTGTATTGCCTTTTCCATAATGACACTTAACTGATGTAAAATGATGATACATATTGAGTACAGGTCATAATTAGCAAAACATAAAACTCTCTTATGCTCTCAAAAGTACATGGTATTGGTAAAACTACTACAATAAAACTACTGCTAACAACATTGTTCTTCCACAAAAGCGCCTTTCCCCTGTATAACCTCGTCCACAGTGGCCGCTGCTCTCTTGCCAGCTCACTTCACTCAGTGTTTTATTGTCGCTGCCAAACAGTTCAAGCTCATAAATAACTTTAAAACCCAGTAAAATACAAAATGTAATTATCTTCTCTACTTAGCCCGGGGCCCTTCATATATCTTGTCCTCGCTGTCATGCATACATAACACATTTTTAATGACTGGTTACTTGCAAATGTACAAAATTATTTCCATGGCGCGGCCTCCTGTGAAGGCTGCAGTACTGTGTATGCGAGTAGGGATGGGAGGACGTGATGGGGACAGATAAATATTTGGGACAAAACAAAGCTCGGAGACAATACCTGGAGCTCCAGCTGTTGGACGACCTGCATTTGGACTCGACACTGGGCCGTGCTCCGGTCGTCCAGGGCGTGCTCATTGTTGAGATGCCTGCAAAAGAAAATATACAAAAGAGAGAGCTGGTGTCAATATGGCTTCAGACCGCTGCAACCTTTAGGGTAAACTAACAAAGGCCCCCGATGTTTTGCTAATGACGCAGTCCGGTAATTGAATAAAGCAAGTGCATGAGAAAGACGTGATAACATTGAGGGAGATTTCCAGAGTAAGGTTCAAAACACAATGCCTGTACAAATGCATTACAAAAATAACAAGAATGACTCAAGACTGGTTCATATTTGAAGTTTAGTCAAAGTAGTCATAATAATCTTATGCTACATTTGTTTAAAAAGTGAAAACATGTATATAATAACAACAGGGGACTGTGTGTTCTAAACTTGTCTCTCATTCTGGTGAGTCTTAAGGGAATGTCTAAACAAGCAAAGCGTGTTTAATTCTTAATAGTAGATTTCCAATGAAGGCCTTCTTTGTTCAGTCTTCATCAATAGTTGTTTTACCTTATGGCAGCCTACACGGTGTAGCTGTGAGACTTTTACACTTTAAAATAGCTTTTAATTATGTCAAATTCAATTCCGTCTGAAAACTTTACAAAAGCCAAATGATACACTCATGCCCATATGCACACACTTCTCATTACGTTTGTCCTATTTCGGTGTTTTTCAGCTAATTGCACCATTAAAATCAAGAGAAAGTGAATAAAGCTGGAGCAGAAGTCGAGGACAACAGGACGAAGAGATGGGATCTGTCACAAACTTGAATTATGGATATAATTATATGTGATTATTTTACACAGCCAAGATGTTCTCCTCTTTTCCTGTACGTTTAGGACTAATCTAAATAAGTAGCTGGCTGCGCAGCAGACAGGGTTTTTGTGTGATTTATATAAAATGGTGGAGATAAGGTTCACCACTGAGGGAAATATGATTGGAGGAATTTTATCAGCGGCCGCATGAATTACTGTTTGAAAATGCTTATGCAGGGGCATTTCATTAATCATTTAATCATAATCCGAGCAGGATGTTTGAACTGATTTCACAAATACCCTTTCATTTCACTACTTCATTATGCTCGCTAATGGATCCAATATATTATATATATCATAAATTATATCACATCTTGGGTGACCATGTAGGTCACTGTCACCAGGAATGTCTGTGTGCACACAGCCGCTGAGTGTCTCGAAAATGCACTTTTTCTGTCGCAAATCAAAACTGGTCAGGCACACCAGCGTCGGGACACAGCGCTAAATTACACGGCAGTGTTTTATGTACAGACAAAACTAGACCATTGTAAATAAATGCACAATATAGAAAAAAACTACCTTGATTATTTAAGGTCTCCCTTGTTTACAGAATATGATTTTAATAAAACAATACACTTTTAGCTTAACAAACAAGTCAATGAACTTGACATTTATCTATACACAATGTTCTCTAAGCGCAGACATTTAATACTACTACTCCTCTCCCCACTTCAGGTCATCCATCTGTGTTTGCTGAACACATTTTTCATAAGGCGATACATTTGAGCACAAGTTAATTATTGTAGCTAAAAAGAAATTAAAATGGCATATTTAAAGACAGCCTGGACAATAGTGCCCTCACTCTGAATTCAATTCTCAGTGCGTTCCATTTAATCAAATGCATTTAATTAAGTAGGCCTGAAAATGAATCTGGTAAACATTTCAGGACATCTTACTAAATTTCAAAGAGGAAAATAATAGGTAAAGACGTTTCAACTTCAATTTAACCGACACGGGCTGAATTTTCAATGAAGAGCAGCCTACGTGAGCAGCTTTGGAATTTGTCTGTTCATAGGAGACGCGGGCTCCTTTTCATCCTTTGTTACATTCCACTTTATTTCTCCTAATGACATGGAGAGTCACAGTGCATAATTAATAGGAAATGAAATATTCAAATGGGCCTAATGCAGCCTTGAGAGGAGCGTCTGGACACGGAGCAGGGGATAGGACGGGGGGCTGACATCGCCATGCACTATGAGCACTGGCATGTGTCACTTTCTGGACTTCAAATGAAGCCACTTTTAAAAGCTCTTTGGCAGAATGACAGTCCCTAATGCAAATGGCCACAATAAAACAAGTTCAAGAGACAGGCCCCAACACCAGGCTTTTTACATAAATATCAGCTACTTTGAGCACGATTTTCAGTGTTTATAATTACAGAATACCATTATCTGGGCAGTGTCTTCATGTGAAAGGCTTTCTTATGCATAAATACATGTGCATTTATTAACAAAATCATGTTTGATTGATTAATGTTTACTTAGGGATCACACTAATTTCTGCAACATTTAACGCTACATTTAGTCTTAACTATGAAGTAAAAACTATAGAAACAACGTGTTCTCGGAGACAGAAGTTGCACAACATTTTTTACACAGAGAATTTGGATGAAAATATGTGCACTATTGTTTATGTGTAATGTTCCATGACTAAATGACTCTCTTAACCTCTATGTCTTTTAAAGGTTTCCAGTACACAGTAAACATGCTATTCTGTGGTTCAGTGACATCACTAGAGGGTGCTGCTGAGATAGGATGACCTTTGAGAGGACACTGCACAGAGGGGTCCTGACCTCTCTGAAGCAGTGAGTTTAGCCATGAACTCTGCTCTACATGTCCACACAACAACAACTCAGCCTTTAAACTACATTTACCACACTGTGTGTGCGAGAGTTTTAGGGTTTATTTTGAAGAATAAAATAAATACATGGCCGTTTCAAACATTTGGACTTGTGTTGCTGTTGGCATGTTAGCTTAAGTCTGCTTGAGTCCTCCTCACCTTTCTCTCTGTGGTACACTGTGTTCTGCTGACTGTCCTGCACTACTCTTCATAAGACGTCTTTTGTACGCGCCTGATGTCTCCTTTGTTTTTATTTTTGCTTCTCTGGCCGAGCCTGCAGTATCGGTTGCTGGGATTCATGTGGAAGTGCTTAAGGCTTTGAGAGTTAACACCTTGGTGAGCTGCTTGCACTCTCGCCTGCTGTTAAACAAAGGCAGCTTTGTGGAGACTCTCCCCAAATGTTTTCTTAACATGTTCCAAGCGGTTTGAGCAGGCAACTAAAGTAAACAAGATGTTGCCATGATAAAAACACTTGTAAAAACATAGCAGAGTGCACTTAGGCGCTTTTTTAAGGCCGAGCCGTACCGGCTGTGCAGAATTTAATTCCCCTTTCTACTATAAACAAAGGGCGAGGCAATGTCAGAATAGAATAAACATTGATGGATTTGACGTGGCAGTCCCACAGCTAAAATACGCCTGTATCATATCTATATTTTATTTGATTTACTTTGTAATGCAGTATGATTGCTTCAGTGCATGATTCTTATAATACTGACAATCATCATTACAATGTAGAAGTAAAAAAGTTCATCTAACCTATTTTTGAATAAAACATAATCAGAAAATCTAAGTGGTTCTGTGGTACTTGCTTGCTTTTACCTTTTATCTTGGGATGGGACAGGCCCAAATTGTGTCTTAGGGGTTTACTCCTTAAAGATTAATACAAACTAAAATTTTCTCTTGATGAAAGTAAGTATCCTTGACCTTTAACCAACCCAAACTAAAAGTAATAGTAAAATTTCTAAAGGTATAATATAGTCATAAGTAAAAGGTAATATAGTCCAAAATATAGAATAAACAACTGGCTCAATATGAACCTATTTTGAATGTGCATTTATAATAGCATATTGACAGCTAACTAAAAAGTTAGGCAATTAAGAGAGATTTTTCATGCATTTTAATAACACATTATTCTCTTGTGTAAAACTGCCCATCACAGTAATGAAACAAAGCACCTACATTTACAGCTGACCCTGTGACAACCTGTCCTGTGTCTATGGGAAAATGCATGCTGGCCCAAGTGCTTGTTTTAGGATAATGGAATAGTGTCATATCTTGTTTAAAGAGCGCCTAATCCGGGGTGACAGTGAGCCATTGATCTGCTGCCACAACGCACATGTTTCCATCCTCTCCGTAACCATGGTGCTGTTATGTGTTGCATTACCTACACACACGGCTGCTTTAGTAAACTGGGCCCCTGACTCAAACACAAAGTCATCAAGACAAACACAGACCCTGGACATAGAAGGTGCAAAGATCATACCAGTGATAGGGAGCCCAAATGCATTCTGGGGTAACTTGCATTTAGAGAGCTTTAGAAGTACAATGGGAAAGGCAAAGAAAATAAAAGTTATCTTTGGATATAAGTTACTACAAATAACTTTCTATAAAGCACTGTGACCTGAAAACAGGGACTCCAGTACACATAGCTATTAAAAGTACACTTCTTTGCTAGTGGAGGATTTGCCAGCTGCTTATCTCTGTGGAAATGTTTTATTTTACTTGTAATGTTCCACAGTATGACTTTAAACTATATATCTCTCTGGAGACAAGCAGGTAGCCTCACAAGACCATGTTCTATGCTCATGTTACACAGGTTTAATGCAGTGCTGTGGAACTTAACAGGCAAAGCAATAACATCTCCATGGAGACAAGCAGGTGGCATAATGTCAACCAATGTAGCTTGATCGACAAAGAATCATGATAAAGAAAAATTATAAAGAATCATGCATGATAAAAATATATATGTATATTAAAAAAAAAAAATAATAATCATGCAAATAAAATCAATACGTCTGAAGGATTTTGAAAATAAGCAACAGGACTAACTGGAGTGAAGCGAGGAACATCTAATGTGCTTTTGCAAGTGGCATTTGTGCTAATGAAAATGAGTCTTGATTAGCACATGTGACAGGGTTAATGACTTAGACAGAATTGGTCAATTAACATTGTGAAAGCTGTAGGTATGGATATTATTGCAAGTCTAAGCGTCCTAGTGATAATGTACATAATGCCAAGATCTACATATCCTACAGCTGATTTTAAAGTACTAAAATGTGCGGCCACGTCAAAGTCAACTCCAGACTTGCATCAGCGGGGAGAGGCATGAGAAGGCAAAGAGAAAGACAAAAGCTCTACTGGGAAAACAGAGAAGAACACACAGCCATCCAACTGTCCACCGTCCAGTGACAAGGGCAAACACGCCGAGAGCCTTAAGTGTGGGCTGCCACAGATAAACATCCCACCGTTGTTTGTTTGGGAAAAATGGCCCCCCCGTCACCATGGGAACTGCACTTATCACAGGAATTAGAGGCCCATGCGGTTCCCAGAAGGAGACCCCACCACAGTACCCTTGTTAAGACGGGGCCAACCTCGGGCACACTCCAGAATAACAACCAGCAGCAGCAGCACCTGTAGTGGCTGTGTGTCGTCTGGGGTTACCAAACGTGTAATCGACCCAATGCAAGGACATGAGGGCTGAGACTCTACCCCGGGGAATGACTTTGAGACAGTTTATGTGACAAGTCTACCTACTCAAACATTGTTCAAGAAAAGTGTTTTAAGTGGACAAAAAACAACAGCAAGAATATGATAATAATGAATACGTTTATGATGACTTTTGTTAGGTAAATGCACTTGATTGTAGTATCATGTATGCCCTGTACTTGTAATCACAGACAGATTGATTCATACACCAGCATACACAGACAGCTGGAGAAGAGGTGGGTGGTGTCTAACTCAAAGACAGTATGGCAGATTGCACCGGTCCAAGATCAAAACACCAACTGCTGAATTAGTGGACTCTCTACTACACCCTCTGTACCACTGTGAAAGAAGCCTGAGGTCCAGACTGAGTCTCTCTGCATTTTATATTCTAGAAGTCTGGTCACCATATCCGGGTCTCAAGGCCAACGCAGAAGGAACTGTGCAGTCAGGTTCTTTTATTTCAGTAACACACTGGAAACAAACATGACTATTGGACATCTGTCACTGAGAAATTCTGAACAAAATCAAAATTTTGTCACCTCTTATTAACAGCATTTAAAGTTTCACAAATTGATTCTGCAGGAGTCTACAATGATTTTTTGTGCTCTGTGTTATTTAGTTTTTCACTTCTTGTAAGCAGCAATGTTTTGTTTTGATGCAAATAGACTATGATTGGCTAATCCGTTTGTCAATCTAGTCCATCTGAACTCTGGGAGATAAGACCGGGGGCCAAGACCACATGTCTTTACACAAAACGTAAAGTCTTGGCTAAGCAGACAAAAATAAATTATTCTTTCCATACAATATATTGTTTTAACATCTCTGACATGTTATTTAATTTGTTTAGTAATACAAAATTATAAGGACACCACTGCAAATATAGAAGATATCATTTTATCAAGCGATTCAATACATGTCTAGATATTTTTGTTCTTTCTACAAACAATAAATAATTGATCACAGGGACTGAACATCTATTGTTAGGATCTTTGTTGTGCAGACAGAACTCACTTTAGGAATGACTGGAAATCATCAAAGACCGCCTCACAGCCAGGCCACTTGCAGACGCCATGTCCATAGAGAGGGTGACTGTGAGAAGAGGGCTCTTCTAGTGTGGACCTATAAGACACAAAAGCATTGACAGAATTAGACATCAATAAGAGACATTGCATGATATGTCAACTCACAAGACAGGCCTGCAGTAGGACAACATGACAACTGCTTAGTCCGCACTGTGATCTAACCTTGATCTCTGACCATACAGCTGCAAGACGCACTCGTGTTGAGACAGTGAGTCCAAATCAATAGGTAATTATTTAGTAGCAGCGTGGCATGGTGCACTTCTCTTTGATCAAGACAGCTAGGGGGCTCCCTCAAGCTGCTATTTACTGCAACCCTTCCCAAATCCCACCTGTGTACCACAACATGGCCCCCCATCCCAAACGCATCAACCGCTTTCCACATTGTTCACCAACTCTAAACATCCGCCGTCTGGAAACAATTTATCTACTGACCAATTCATGTCACCAAGGGGTTGACGACAAGCACAACTGTGGGGATCTATGGGGAGCGTATGTCTGTGTACAATCAGTCTAAATAGCAGGAACATCCCCCTTGCAAAACAAACTCTACAACATCTTCCATATGGCAAGAGGTGCGCAGCTTCGGCTAACCACGGCGACGGCTAAGAGACCAAGACAGCCTGCCATATGGAGGCAGACGCTATACAAGACACACAACTTTGAGCTACAAGAGCCTGGGGGACTGGCCTACATCGCTACCACCTGTGCTTGTGGTGGCTTGTGCTTTTGCAGAGGAGTTGCCCAGAGCTTGAAGACAACGGGCCGAATAGGGAGATTCATTACACCACAAACTGCTGTGGGAATAACTGCTGTGTGGGAATAGCTTAGGACAATCGAGGCCCTTGCATGCTAAAATTAATGCAAGTAGTTTACCACGGTGAAAAAGAATACAGAAATAAACAAATTGCTTTTTTATGTTTTGTTTTGTAGTAACAGAAAGTAGGGATAGAGGATGTGGTCAGTATGGTACAGTTTTACTACCATACTTAAACAGTGGAAAATCATATTTCTGTTTTCAGAACTGCTATGAGGTAGCAGAAACCATTGCTAATAAAAGTCAAAACACCAAAGTCTGAGAAGTGCATTACTGTTTTTAGTGTATAACCAATACATTTTCCATGGGATGCCTGGATATTTTTGTACAGTGAAAACCAGGATAATATCTTATAACTCAACTGGAACAAGTCATAGTGACAATTCTGATCCAATGTTGTTGGATTAAATACAACTGATGTTATGATTAAAATCTCATCTGTATCACTGTTTACAAAGCTGCACCTCAAGGCGGAAATCTTTCTCTCCTGTTTTCGTATGTTATAATGACTTGTTTAAGAGTTCACATTGTTCATAACATGTGATAATTGCATTGCAATTAGGAAGCAGTCAAGCATTTATGAATGCGTTTAGCAGCTTTCCCCATCTCTGAAAAGACTAGATTTTTAAAATTCAATTATGAATTATGCATTCACATTTAGACCTCTGTTTTGATACAGCTAATAAATAGATGGCACAAGACCTATTATAATGAGGTTTTTTTTAACAAGGAAATGTGCAGACAGGGTGAAGGTAAGGCTGCTTTTTAATTTAAGAAGATCTCGTTTTAATTCTTGCGAGCTGCCTTGTTGGTTAATTCTGTATTAATAAGATAATGAAATGTGGAGTGTGCAGGGAATCTATGAGCACAAAGCACAATGAAGGGCTGGCTGTGCGAGAGGATTTAGGAAATGTTGCCTCACTTAACAACAAGTGAAAGTTAATGCATTAGGGGTTATAAAACAATTCTTGGATTCTTACAAAATTCTAACCACATGAAAAGGAGTATCAAAAAGATAGGAAAATCATGTCTTTGTTGCTTGCACTGCGTTCAATTCGACTTGCACCCATAACAGGCCTGTCAGGATGTTGTTATTGTCAGGCAGCCCAGGGGGAGAACACTCAAATGATCTTGTAGCAGAAATGAGGAAAAGCATGTCATCAGCTTCCTTTTGGAGACGAAGGAACATTAAAGTGCCTGGAGAGCCCGGCCGCCGAGCACTGCTACGGCAGCATCCAGGTGTTGCACAGTGTTTATGTGTAGACAGACGTCAGGAGAAGCCTTCCACAGCTGCGCGCCAGTTGTTTTCTACTTCACTTCTTTTGATGAGATGCTCTGGGCCATAAACAAGTCATGATGTATGGCGTGGCGCGCTGATGGGCTCGATCCATCAGAGAAAATGGGACGATTGATGTCCATAGTGCTGGGTCAGTGTCTCGCCATTGAGGAGTGAGCCTGATTATATTACATTAAGCACTATTACACACAGATCCCAATACATCTGCTGTTATCTGCTGTGAACCAATGTGGAATTTCTAAATGATATAGATTGCTAGCTAAACAGTATTATAATGGTGGAGTTTTCATACTATCTCTATTAAATTAATATGTTTGATTGGCAAAACTACAAGCTGCCAATTGTCTATAAAATCTGCTATTATCATTGAAAACATGATAATGTTAAATGTCAGTGTATTGCTGGGTTTCTGTTGGCCAATCATATTAAATACAGATGGGGGCAGCATTCATACAGTTTAAATGCAGACTCTTTAGGTAATCAGTAATATCAATCTGGAAATATGACATCATCACACTTTTAAAATCTGAAAACCACCTAGAGAGGCTCTCTTTATTTCCACCTTCAACTAACCAACCGCTCTAATGTTTACTCACCGTTCTCCTCATAGGGCTGAATGATTCACCATAAATGATTTAATTATCGTATTTTTTCCCTTTGTGAGATAAATGAAAGGCAGGAGAGATGGGAGAGCTGTGCTAAATCTGATTATTTATCTGCTTAACAGATTGCTACGTTACAGTCCCTGAGCTGCGGTTACTGATGGTTGTTGGGAAATAAAGTGGGCCAAGTGCCTTGTGAGGATGCTCCCCCCAACAGAAGCTGATACGCCACTGAAAAGGGAATTCATGTCAGACACAGATCAAGGACATTTTATTTAAGTAAGCAAATCAGTGAGTAAAGATGAGTTGGTTAGATGAAGTGTTGCTATGGAGAGGGCTCAGGCACAAACAAAAATACTGCCAGGCCAAATGTGCAATGAGACAACTAAGAGCAGCTAAACGCATGCCTTGTCTTCCCTGGCCGTGTCAATCCGGCAGTGATTGAATTTCTCCCCCTCTTCCTTAAGACGGAAGTGCAAAGCCGGTGAGTGATTCCTGTGGATGCACTTAAGGTTTTAGTTGCAGGCGTCGCTGTGCCTGGCCAGATTTTATATGACACATGAAACTAACTACATGGTACTTAGGCCCCGCTGTAAACCAATCTGAAACCGGTCGGGAAAATGTGCCCATCAGCACTGGGCCTTGTTTCTGTTGCATGACAAAAGGACTTGCAAAACCACATCAATTAAAAGTTCATTAAGTTCAGCGCTGGGAGGATGAGTGGATGCTCTCTATTTACACCCGGGCCGGCCCAGCCCATTATCTCCAACCTGATTATTCAAATCCCTGGATTATAACAGGCGTTTTTCTGAGCCCTTGCTTTGAATAGTCACACTTGTGTTTCATGTTTCTTCCCATAGAGATAATTAGAATTAGTGTAAGTCTGCAGCATCAAACAAGGAGAAATAATGCTCTTGATAGTAAAGTGTTCTGAAATTAACACCACAACAGTTAATTGGTTTCATGATAATTATCAGGCCCAAAACTCAAAGGGCAAAAAGTACAAAGTTTGTCAAAATACAGAAACAATCCACTGAAAGAATCTTTGGATCTTTAGGGGTCACCACTGCAGATGATTAGACAGGCAGCCTTCTTGGTCTTCAGGGTGAGGACTCTACTACAGGGACCTGGTTTGTTCCACCAAATGCAGGCAAGATATTCATTTGACTATACACACACTTTCCTTTCTTACAAAATATAAAAACACGTGACTTTTTTGCCTATGATGTTAAGAAGCTTGTATTCTAGTCAACAAATATCCATCATTTTGTTATATATATAGTATACAGTCAATATAGCTGCACAGTTTTTAAATAAGCAGCATCTTAAAATTGGATGACAATCTCAGAACATTTGAACATAATTTGAATATCCTCTCTCACTCTCTTGCTTCCTTCTCATTGCCACAGAGCAGCATATTGCATGGACTAGGTATAATCTAGATGGGTGCATGAGAATCACCTGCTCCCTTTTTTGACAGATCTAAGATACATGGAGAATATTCAGTCGGAGTGTGCCTTCTTCACTTAAGCTCGTGTTAAACTGGTGTTGACATCTTCTTTAATCTCTGACAGTCAGTGCAGAGAACAGCCCTGCCAGCCTGCGCACTCTGTCTGCAGTCCTCAGCTGAGTCCGCTCGTGCCTTGTCTTGCCATTAACGCTCACCTTTCCACAGGCTGGGGACAGAGTGTGATGAAGTGAGCCAGTCAGGATCACTCCCCTGTGATTTAGCCACAGCTCCTCAGAAAAGTACAGTAGACATTCAGTCAAACATTGGCGCAAAAGCACTGGGAGTATCGAGGTTCTGTCACCTAAAGTATTTTTTGAGTGTGGGATGGTTCAGTGCCATAACTGTATGTGCAATAAGAAGAAATACTTGTCAGTCTAAATCCTCTGATACTCGTTCACTCTGTACATAAAGCAAGACACTGCAGTGACTAGCCTCTATGAAGGAATTTGAGGTTGGTCAATAGTCAATACAATATTATCCCAGTGTTCAGTAAAATGGCTAACCAGTCTTTGCAAAAGTTAAATAGGCACTATCCACGGATCTACTTCATCTCACAGTCAAAGACTTTCTTTAGAGATAAACTTCAATATATGAATAAATATGAAACACAAAGCAGATGAACATAAAATGAATGGCCCATGGATTGGCCTGACCAAAACTGCACTCATAAACAACTTGTGCTATGTAAGTCATTTCTTTTTGTTTTGTAAAACACAACTGAGATTTATTACGCATATGCCCGAGTTGTGAGTGTTCATGTCCGGCCCTCGAGCTGCCCCTCTTCACCTCCATAAGCCTGTTGGTTTGGTGTGCTAAACATGTTTTCACTGACAAGGCTTTTTAATATGACGTCTAGGTTTTGATCACTAAAACACAAGTCAGATGTTAGGCACTGAGCTCACGGTGCCTTGAGGCTCCACACCAACAGTTCAAAAGATCAGCCTTTGGTGCAAGAAAACAAGCAAACGTGTAAGATGCCAAATTAATTCCTTCCTCCAAGTCGCAGAAACAGCTCGAGGAGACGATCAAATGCCTTTTCACACATGATTCACCCTGTGTTACAGAATATCATACGCCTCCAGTCTGTGTGTTTTTGGCATTTACTGTAAGAACTTGTTGGTCTTGTTAATCTCAAGCTGACATGGATTCTAAAGGCCAACTAGTTCCTTGTCAAGATTTAGTTCAGTTTTTTTTTTGTTTTTTTGTTTTTTTCCATTCCAGAAATACACACAGAGGCAAATGTGGCTTAGATTACAACTGCCATTTCCGAATTGAAACAATAGCGAAGCGGATCAATATCTCGTCTTATTAACCGTGCGTTGATCCCATTTCAGTGAACATAATTCTCTAAATCCCTGAAATGCTTCCAGGTGTTCCGCTTAAATTCCCAATTGCAACCAGAAAAAGTGTTGACCTTAATGGAAATAATACTTAGAAACTATAAATTAAAACTAATCTGTGTGCAAACTCTAGGGACGTGTCAGTCAAGCGGGTCCCGGTGAGAAATGGCTATTTTAAATGGGATTAGATGGCACACAGACTGCTGTTTGCTTTAGATACAGATGACACTGAAGGCTTCTCCACATCGAATTACTAATGTTGTTGTGAAAAGATGTTGACATTTAGTCTTCACCGCCTCATGGACTCATTCAAAGAGCGTGCAGCATTATGTTGAACATTTATTACACTGTAGTTATGGCATATTTATTTTCATGCCGTGGTATGTGTGAAGTGGGAGTCTGATAAAATACACCATGCATAATTTTGAACATTAAAAGAAAATGCTTGGATAAAAGCTAGTCTGTCAACCCATTTTGTCTATTCTTTTCTTTATAATTGCACTGGAACCTGTCACAATGATTGTGATATCCATGGGGGCAGAACAAATGAAAGCAATTGGATAGACATGTGCCACAAATCTGAGGCAGCGCTAACTATTACAACACAAGTACGTGACCATGAACTCACCCTTCCCTCTTGTGACTCAGGTACTGTCCGTTGGAGGGGGTGTGCTGGGTGAGCAGGGGGTTCTTTGGGGGGGTGGGGGAGGACAAGTCCAGCCCCCTGTGGCCGTTGTTGTTGCCGTTGTTGTGCTCCTCCTTCACATGAGTGTTCGTCACCTCCTTCCACAGCTGCTGCAGCTCGGCTGGAATCATGCCTGAGACAAACAAATTGGATAATTAAATCAATTAACAGCTAATCCGACTTTGCTCTTCATCACTTAATTAAATCAAAGTATCTGTAAACAAAGCCCAGTATTAATTAGACAATATTCCACTACAGGGTACTGCAGTGACAGCGAGCCCCTTGCTCTGTCTCTGCCCGTGATGTGAAGCGTATTTGTACACTCAAATCCCTGGCATTCACACCCATTACATGCCCAGAGTAAATAATTAACATCCAGACATGGCATGAAATCTGAATAATCACCGTCATTTTCTTTCAGCAGCAGAGGCGCAGGCAGAACACACACACAACAAAAAGTTTACAATAGCACCACTAGAAAACATCGCAGCCCTCTTTTGAGCTGAGACCCTGGGGTAATATTTTCACAAGCGCATTAATGTGCAAAATACTTAACGCTCTGTTCCGCCTCCAATTGACACACAAGACTTAAAGCTCATTTACTGAGTCAAGCATGCGGCTGCTCATACAAGCCTTTGAAAAAAAAAAAAAAAAAAACATCCCTAGAAGACATTTTCTGAGAGCTACTCACACATCAAAAGTGTGTCTTTATTGTGTATTTTTACAGGCAATTGTCATTCAAGCTTTTGCCATGGGGGTATGGAGAGTTCCACTTTCATAGCGGTCTAGGTCTAGGGAGGAAATTATGACTGTTAGCAACTTGGTATACAATGAGTCATGTAAAAAAAATAAAAATAAAAAATCACTCAATTGACACCAATGCCTTTGCATTCAAGCAAGAAAGTAATGAAGATACCAAAATGTTAAAGGTTAGAAACATGTCACTGACAATATATTTTCCTCTATTTGGTCAGATTAGGATCTGAGGATCAAACCTGAGGGTGTGAAATGTTTAAACAGCATTCACGATTTTGATCCACCTTTCCCCTATTCCTCATGACTGTCATGATATAGTGTGTAGACTATGATCATAAAATTAAGGACCACATAACATACTTTGAGGTTATAGTCACTCAAGAACAAAATGGAAACCTTTCAGTTAGTCCACATTTCTGTTCCATGTAGTGAGAAAAAATATATTTGAAAGTCACTTTTTGTTACTGCTGTCTCTTGTGTTTTCTTACTGACTTTACACGTGTTGGACAAAGATATGTCTTATTGGCAAGATAAATTACCTAAACATCCCTGAAAGAAGCTTAAAAAAGAAGCTGTGTTATTTGCCAATAACTGACAGCAATCCCACCACTCCGGGCCAAAGTGCGGATGAAGAGGGATAATAATATGTTTGTGCATCTGAAAATGAACCCTTTGAAGACGCAAAAAATATATATATATTTTTGTAAAGTGTGTGCTTGTGTTTGACACAAATAAGGCTAAAGCCGACACGCAAAATAAGATTAACCCTCTTGGGTGAAAAACATCGTGCTTTTTAAATTCCATCAAAATACACAGCTTGGAGAAAGAGTTAATGGGGTCTGGGGATTTGTAATGACTATTCAAATGTGTGCTTAAATAAGCCACATGTGTAAAGCCGGGTGAGAGAGGAGGGCTGTGTGGTGAATGGAACCGCAGAGCAAATGGCCAAGACCACTCGTTTAACATTACAATTAATTAAATCCATTCTCAAAATGAGCAGTGGTAAATGAAAGATGATTTGCACACGCTTATCTCCTTATATTCTCCAGACCAACCCCTCCACCCATTTCTCATCAGCTGCACTATAGATACCAGAAGTGCCCCATTTCAAATGGCCGATTGTAACACAATGTGCAAAATGCTTAGTCTTAATTTATTCCTGTTGTGGAAAATAACTGAGAGGTGAAGATCTCAATACGATCAGCAAAATATTTTTAATTTGATAAGCTACTAAAGATTTTAATTATGCTGGTAATGGAGAACATTGGCCTAATGAGGCGGAGGACTCCAGAGAGACGCAAGGGCTAAGAAGTGTGAAATGAGTCTGATAGGATTGCTGTAAATTCACACGAGATGGTTTGCATATCAAAGAGCAGGAAATGATTGCAGGACAAATCAATAACCTTTGCACGTTCCAAGGAGCGTCTTTCCTCATTGGGATATTTCAACATGCTGCCTCCTTTCTGCCCACGTGTATTCTCTCCTATTCTGCCTGGTGCCTCGGCATGAGCTAATCTAAGAGCACTTCTGTGGCAGGCTAAACATGCCTGATATCAACCCTTTGTTATAACATGCTAATCCCCTGATCACTCAGTTGCATTATTATCATGAGCCTTTTTGGTTTCATGATCTATATGAGGCATTTAACAGACATTTCTTCTACCAATTTCATTTATACTGACAAACTCTGCCACAATGAACAAGATTAGTACTAGACTTTAATACTAAACATTGGCTGAAAGTGGCAATTGAAAGTGCAAATTTGGTTAATCTGGTAACCTGGTTAAATTATAGAATTGTATAATTATGCTTTGTCACCAGTCTCTTGTTATTTTTGCTACTTATTTTGAATTTATTATTACCATTAATATTTTTGCTCATAGTTATTCAATTTATTGTGATGTTTGAGCGACTGTGTCCAAATTATTTCCCTTGTGGATCGATAGTAGATGAAGTTTGTCTAAGTATAAAAAGCACATATAGTATGTTTATAGTATGTCGTATTCTATACCAAATGTGTTTTTTTGGTGTCTGATGGTTAGTTTGGAGAGGGAAGGTCATGTCTGATGCGTGTGTCCTATGCTTGGACAGTGGGAACAATCATTTTCCCCCACTTGGTGCCCGGTGACAGTGGGCGATGTATTTTTAGCCGATGTGCTTGACAGGGCGGCCCACGCTGGCTCAATTACCCGGCAGTCCTGGTGACCCCAGCACCGCTGTTTACTCAGACAAAACCACAGCGGATAGAACGCTGTGATGAGCGGGCTAACGGACTGGGACTGAGCTGTCTACTCCTGGATACGCCGCGTCTTTTTACAGCTCACAGCATCACCTCTTCAACCTCGGCAACATCTATGCCTCATGATTCCACGTAAATGACAATAAAATACTATTACACAAATGTCTCTCAGGGCTTCCGTTTGGACAAGTACATTGGGGCCTTCTGATAGAGCCTCCATTTGATTACTACGGGACACGGAATGACACCGGAACTCCTCTTCCGAGTTTGTCCGATCTTTTGAATGCCAGATTGGTTTATCTTTCATGATTCCATTTTTCAACACAAGCATTCCGCTCATTACAACTGGGGGAATACGGACAAGCACTCTAAAAAATGTATGTTGTTGGGACACTTGATTGATCACCGGCCTCCCAACTCAATTTTAGCGCGGCAGGTAGCGCTGGCACAGAGACGGGCTGAGCTCTTCAACCTTTTCCTGTCCTTGTCCCCCTTGTACCCAGGTGACCATGTTCAAGCAAGCAGAAAGTTGATTTAAGGTTCATAATGACATCAGTTGCGGGCCATCACACCCCCCAAATAAAAAATGGGCGCGTTGCTGCAGGGTTTTTAGAGCAAGCTGTTATACTTCTGGCTGTGTCCGTGCCATGGGGGTACGGTGACATCGCTATTAGTTTATTGTTCACTCCTGGGCTGGGACCTTTACGCCACCCCTGTTTATGTTGCGGTAATCACTGGCCCGCTGATACGCCTCACCTCTCCGCTCTGAAAGATGTCCTGTCCAAATGCAGCAGGAACTATTACCCCCGGCCCGCTGCCTGATGTATCAATCACTGACAGGAGTCTACCCCCCCTGTACCGCTGTGGCTATGCACATTCTTTGCTTTCACATTACACACAAATTTGTCTTGTCACTGTCCCACTGGCCTCTCCCAGACAACTTAAATGATGTTGTGTACAAGCGCCAACTCGGTTTTCTTGACAATTTTGGTCAATCTTGTGTGGTGCGGTTTTCGCAATGCTCTGACTTCAAGAATGGAACAAAATCTGTTCTGAAATTAAAGTACATAAATATGGTAGGTAGTGGTAATCTAAATGTAAAATGATGATATTTGAATTTCAGAGCACTGTTGCGTGAAAAGTTAATGTTAGCAAGTGAGGTCAATGGTTGAACAGATGTATTTTTAATCAGATGTTATATCACTATTGCTAAATACAATGTAAAATGTCTGCTTATTTTTGTGAAAATATGAATACAATTTGATACTTTAGATGGATCAATTTGATTCCATATTAATGCTAGTATGGAATCCAATACTCATTTCTTAGGTGTTTAATTATTATATAAAAGGTTAACACAAGTGCAATATTTCTTCTTTCATACTGACTATTTTAAGAATTTGTAAGTATCATTATGTTATGTTTTATGTTTATTATCGTTGTTTTTTTTAGCATTGTAATATCAGCTCTGGCACGTACCTTTGATTAACTGCAAAAAATCTGGTTGATCATTGCAGCAAAATAGCAAGAATATCTGAGCCATGAAAGCCTTAGCCACCAGTGAGTAAGTTATCAGGTCAAGAGGACACGCTGTTAGTGAGGAGGGGATGTTGAAGATCAGATTTATGACACATTATATTCTCCCCAGACAATGGATGACAAATATGGGTTGGATGCTTCAATGGCATTCATGTCAAAAGAATTTATGAGAAGAGATAAGATTTGTAATATAGATAAGGCACACTTATTTTGGGGAATATTTTCTTTAGTAGGAAATGCTTTCACCAAATTTTCATTGCAATTATTTTAGGTTCTTTTTATTTGAAAAGTGTAGGCATCTCTTCCTTTTAAACTCATCAAACACTGTGTTTTTTAAATCTCTTATACAATAATAACAAATATATATATATATATATATATATATATATATATATATATATATATATATATATATATATATATATATATATAGGTTAATCTATTATTTTCAGTTGGAGAGTGTAGGATCGTAACAGTGTGGGACTCTTCACTTTCAACACACTGCTAACTGCTACAGCTAAATATTGTAGATCATATCTGCGCAGCATAGCCTGGGCTGCTGAAGCATGAAAGAATTTAGTCATGTGGAAAACAGAAAGGTCATCAATAACTTCAAACAGTCAAGCAGAAAATGTGTAGAATAGAAAGACAAGTGGGGAGCCTCCAGCGCTGGTTTAAGTGTTGTATCAGTATCATCAGTGAAAAGTTACATTCAGACCGGCAAAGAGAATAAAGGCAGTGCTTATAATAAACTAGTATATTTAATGTAAAGTGCACAAAACAGTAGGTGTAACTCTGTCTGTGTGTTTGTCTTGTGTGTTGCTAAATGCAGTATCTGCTGATATGATGCATTAGAAATAATGATAGTGACTTATTATAAACCAGATGTTCTTTAAAGGGCAATAAAATGTATCAAGAATCCTGTTTGTAGCCTTGGAGCACATCTAATGCTTTACTCTAGGGGTGTGTGTATTTGCCAGCCTGACATGTGATCCTCTGAGCAGAAGGTACACGCCTGGGCCTATGGCAGAGGTCTATGATTGGAGGGCTGAATCTCCAGTCCAAACAATAACAGCACTGTACAAACTCTGTTTGTGTTTGTCTATTACCTAAGCACTCGGGCCCTCCCGCCTTTATCGCCCTTATCTTGTTATTTCATAACTGTTTGCTTTTGTAGGGCATGAATAGTGCATGTCATGTTCTTGTGATGGAGTCTTTGTTACAATGGCACCACTCCTTAGCAAAATATTAAAAAGTAAATACAGCAAACAACTTCCTGACCAAACAACAGTATTGACTCCTTATCAAGGAACAACTGGTTTCACAATGACAAGTTCACTGGCAGTTTAGGAACAAACAGCCAGTGTAGTGGAGGGGCTGAAGGTCAGGACTTGAGATGCCAGTCTAATGAGAGAAGAGATGTGTGGGAATTATTTAGAGCTACCACTGATTACTGTACCATACTGGCCCAAATGCACTATTTACACAGTGAGGGAAGTGTTGAGTGAGCATTTACAATAGGTGTGGTCTGAGTGTGAGAAACCACACAAACATGCAGTGCTTGTATTAGTATGTCTGAAATTTGCTCAGGAATTACTATATGAACCAACAAAATGACACTGGACATAAGTAATAACACAGGTGTCACTTATCTATCTGTCATCAATAATGATAAATTAATTAAAAGTTATTTACAAATACGTTATATATTATGATTGGAAAAATCATTCATATTTGAGTATTTGTCCAAAGAGGTGGAAGATATACCTATGAATTGATATTATTGCAACAGATGTACTGGAGATGTGCAAAATTAGAATATTGAGTATATCATCTATTGTTAAAACTAAAAATCTCCCAAATTGGGTATAAAGTGATATTTCTGCCCTTTTGTAGTTAGTTTTATGGTCCTCATGTTTTGTGCTAGACTTGAATCTCAACCAATGCACAATCACATTTTAGCACACACTGATGCATTGTTAAAATATTCTCTGAAAATTGTTACTGAGATGAAAAAAAAAAAATACAATTAAGATATTTATTTTAGTTACTATTGTCCAGTGCAGTTGTTGTGTAGACAGAGCAGAGACATGGTGTTGTGGTGTACTGACCCTGAGTGAGCTGGTGCAGAGGCAGGCTGCCCTGGCCCGGCTGGATGCTCAGGAGGCCCTGTCTCTGGAGGTTGAGCAGGTGTTGCTGTTGGACCTGCTGCACTTGGAGGAGTTGCTGCTGGAAGGCCAACTGCTGGGCCGACACCTGCGGCTGCAGAGAGAGGAGAGAGAGCTACAGTTAGGGACAATGGGTAGATTCACACTGACCGGGACTGAACACAAAACTAAACCTAGATTAGACCAGGACGAAACTAGGGCTAGAACAGGACTTAATTAGGACTAGGATAGGACTAAATGTCTAAATCTGGACTAAACTGGGCTCAAACCAGTTGTTCACCCAACTAATTACCAAAGGAATTATACAATATTACCAAGGGATACACCAATTAAAACCACACATAACAAAACGATAACTATTCTCCTAGTCTACACAATTACTTACTGTATCATTACTTATAAATGTATAAAGTGTTACTGTATGTATGTTACAACGGGATATGTGCCTGGTCTACCTCACCAAAGTAATACACATGGTTCTGTATTCTAGACAGTATTTTGGGGTCAATTAGCATATGCAATTGTGTCCAAGTAATTTAAACATTTGTGCACCTCCATTCATTCATAAAGTCTCTCCATTAAACACGAACGAAGAACAACAGCAGACCACCAGGTTTATAGCAGGCTGAAACAATATTCATTACAAAAGCCAATAAATGTCCCCATAGAGTGTAATTTTGTAGCGTTTTTTGCAGGCGTTTTTGCGAGCCCACTTAAGACAGGTAGCCCATGCATCTCCGCTGCTCTTAATTAACGAGGAGTCGCACGGCGAATGACAAACAATGAAACAACATTGTTAATCATCCATAATAAGAGCCACAGGAATTTAATTACACCCATTCATAATTCAGCAAACAATGTGTGACTAAATCAAAGTGTTTAATATCCACCCGAGCAGCTCTCCCAAGTCTCCAGGCCCGCTGTGGAGCCAGGGGACTGTCTCATAAACAGGCAGCACTACATCTGTGGGCTGCGTTTTCCAACATCAAGAGGCCATGTGCTCAATACACTGCCAATAGGGGATTTCTGCAACTAAGTGGAAGTGATATGAAAGGGGAGAGGGCCAAAAACGGACAGTGTTATAATAATAAATACAAGGAAATTATCTAATATTCTCATCTCAGTCAAAACAAAAGAGAGATGCTGTTTATGATTACAGCGCGCAGAGGAAAGACACTATCTTTGACCCATTTAGACATGTTTTCAATACCGTAATCTCTTAAGATCTTTAATCAACTGTGTCCCAAATGTATTTATTTATGTTACATGGAAATACTTTTGGTTACAAAAACTATTCTGGCAAGGATACAATTCCATGTGTTTTATCCATGTTTATGTAAACTATATATACTATACGCCTACGATTGCTGTGTTTAAGCAAAAACCCAGTTGATTTACGTAAAAATTTCCCTTGAATCATGAAACAAAATACTACTGTGAAACACAATATTTGCTGCATAAAAATATGTATTACGTATTACAAATTTTCTTGACTACTTGATTAGTGATTATTTGTGTTCTGTGCTGTTATGACTTTTTTGTGAGTGTTTATACAAAAGTGTTGTCATTACCATGGAAACTGTATGACTTTTGTAACTTGTTTCCCTGGAACTTGGTTACTGAGAGCAGCTCAAATAACATACCTGGGCTGGGACAGAACAGGATGCTGGCAGGATAAACTACTGTTTACGGTGTATAGAGGGCCAGTTGTCAAACAAGATGCAAAGAGGGGGAACTAAAAGCGGCACTGCCAAGCTGTGTGCCGCTCCCTGTTACCAAAGACAGGATACACCACTTTGTTTACTTCTCACACAACAAAAAAGGTCTGGGCAGAGCGGCTGTCAGGTCACCGGCTCTCTAAACGCTGAAACAGGCAGATAAAAGGCGTCCCCCCGCCCACCTCCGCCAGGGTTTTCACAAAGACCCTCAAAAACCCCCTCCAGTGCTACTCCTGTATGCACTCTAAAAATACAGCTCTGGAGTATGGGGAGCAGGGTGTCTCTTTGTATCAGCCACAACAAGATGGGACTTGGGCAGAGAGGAACAGAGCAATAATAACTATTTAGTGAAGGATTTGTTCTTTACATCTAATATATAATACATCGTTTTTAAAGGTAAACAGAGCACTTTCAAATAAAAAAAATAATTACAGACTTAAAATGTAATAACATACCCCCTTAGTGTAGCATATGATTTAAAAGAATGGCACACAAGTTTTATGTTGTATTGCCATCTTAAGCCATCTATTCAGGCTTCTAAATAATGTAGCTTGTGGCTGTAAAATGAGGACCGAATACAGACTGTAGTTGTGTATTTGAGCAAGACACTCCGCCCACAATCACAGCATATATTCTGGTTATGATATATCTGTCCAGTTTTATAACAGTTTCAGTGGACTAAAAGAAATGTAATATTTAGGATGACACTTGGCTTGTGATGTCTCGTATCGTAGAGGGGAGAAGTTCCATGTTCCTCTGTTCCTCACACTCCAGTGACAGCCTGAGTCCAACATAATAGTGGTACGGGGGCGAGTTCACAAGAAACAATGTCTTTCATCAGAACGTTAAATAAATAGAGGGCGGCTTTGGAAGAGAGAGAAAAAAAGAGCGCAAATGAATTTAAGACTCCCTTGGCATTTTTTCCTCTGTGTTCTGGTCCCATCAGCTGACAAGTGCTCCTGTGCGCTCCCAGCATGGAGACACATAAAAAAGCCCCAGACCGCATACACCAAATAAGAGGTTAACAAGAAGTGGCACGAGGGAGAGACATGACAAATGATATAGAGTGGCACTGGCAGACCCTTTATTGTCAAGCTTCAAATATAAAGTTAAAGATCTTTGAAAAACTAAATTTTGATGTCTTTAAAAAAAAATACAAAATCTGCACAAAGCCACAACAGGGGGTTATTGTCTGGCAGCCACAGGGGAATCAGTGCATAATTCTTCGTCTGTCTTTTGTGGAGAGAAAAAGGAAAAAAAAAAAAAAAAAAAAAAAACATGCATAAGGGGGAGAGCCCTCTGGAGGCTGCATCCACTTCCTGTGATCATACATAATACGCTTCAAAAGTTGTTTTTTTTTTCTTCTTTTATTCTCCATTCACTGATCAATTGCACCTCCCCCCCCCTCCTCCTCCTCCTCCTCTGCTTGTCGGCTGTTTACATCAGATGCAACCGGGTGACAGGTCCTATCTAAAGGCCCTGCCGAGCTCTCCTGTCATGTTGATTTATGGGAGCATCACGCCGCGACTTGTCCAAACCCGGGCGCACAGTTCATTAATTAGCGCGCCGACTTTGAAGTTGTGCCGCGCGGACGTGTACATGCAGACGGGTATAAAAACAGTTTCCATTCTATCCCATCTTCTCTCTCTCTTTTTTACCGAACGCGCATCTCAATGGGGACGCGAAAATTCCCAGATCGCCTTTGAACTTCTTCTGACCGTGTGATAATCATTTTCTTTGTCCACAAGTGATGCCTGTATCCGCCAGTTATTAACACACATTACACCACTGCTGCCTTTGGGCTAAGTCCGTTAGTAGTGTATGTGGAGGAGGGGGGAGGGGGGGGTGTTTAATTGAATAAATATAGTTAAAACTTTACTATCTACTTTTACTATGTTGTGATTTTTTTCTTATGTTTATTTGGGTGTATTGGTATACTACTTTTCTTTTGTTGAGCAATTTTGCCAAAATGTATTTGCAGAAAACTTTATTAAAACTCTTTGCTACCATTCTGACAATGATTATCAATAAATGATCTAGCAGAGTGTGAAGTCAACAGGGTATCTGAGCTGTCCATTACTATTTATTTAGTAAATCTGACACAAACAAACCTGCACCTGAACCTGTATGTCTTGTCTCATAAAAAGTTTACATTTTCAGAAAAAAATTTATATCACATTTAATACATGTCATATTTTTGTTTGTAAATAAGGCAAAGTTAATTCACCATCATATTTTTTCATATATTTCTAGTCTGTAAAAGAGAAGAGTAGTCTTAAAAGTTTAAATTAGCATATTGTAGATGCACTGCTGTGTGGGGCAGTGTGACCAGTAGTTCATAAGATAAGATAAGACAACTTTTATATGTGCCATAAAGTTAATTTTAGACTTAGTAACCGTGGTGACAGTAAAGGCCCACCTCTTTGTTGGGCTTGGTGCCTGCATGCTGCTGCTGGAGGAGCTGGAGGTGGAGTTGTTCCTGCTGCTTCTTGTAAAACTCTTGAAGTTGCTGCTGTACAAAGAAAAAGAAAATCAATATTACAACAAGGCATCTTAAAAATGCCATGTGACATTACACAAAACCCTATATCCAGAGATTACATTGTTTATCAAAACTATCATGAACATTTTTAAACTTGAACAAAACAGTAGCTATGTTTAAAAGGCACACCAAAAATCTGATGATTATCTGATTTCTGGAGTTGACAGATTATTCAAATGTCATGTAAATAGTTACATCTGAATTGAGTTATCAGGTTCATACTGATTGTTCACATCTGGGCAGATTTTGACATGAAAAATCATGCAAAACAAAGGCAAAACTGAAAGTGGTAAAACATGATCAAGATTAAAAGAGTTCATTGTACTGTCTTCCAAGTACATCAGTACATCACTAAAATCCATTGATTAACAAACACATGTCACCGTCTGTTTTTAATGATCCAATTTAGTTTATTCAACAGACGCCAGTAATAACATCTAAATATTGTGTTATCTGATGATTCAAGTTATCTATTTTTACTGGCTATTTTAATGTACACACTGACTCCTGTAGGTTCATTTTCTGCACAGTTAAGAAGAAAATATAAATGAGCTAATATCTATTTTTAAAAACATATTTACCTATTGACACCAGTCTCTTGTTATTTTTGCTACTTATTTTGAACTTATAATACATTGTGATGTGTGAGCTACTGTGTCCAAATAATTTCCCTTGATTCCGTGGATCAATACAGTTTTACATCTAAGTCAAAGTTACCTAATGAACAATAAATCTCTGACAAACTCTAGACAAATTAAGCTCTTCTTTGTATGGTCACAAAAAAAATCACCTTAATGTGTAAATGCGTAAAAGAGTTGGTACCTGCTGTAACATGAGGGCCTGCTGCTGCTGGAGGAGAACCTGGAGCTGCTGTGGGCTCAGGACCTGCTGCTGGAGGATCTGTTGCATCTGCTGCGGAGTGATCACTTGAGGTGTCATCATAGCCACTGACACTGGAACCTGCACACACACACACACCCACACACACAAACACACAACCATGGAAAATTCAGTTAACAACTCTATTTTACAATACACAAATCTACTTACACAGAACTAACAGATTTTTCTTCAGTTTGCTTGCTAATAATGTTTTTTGTTTTACTTTATTTGAGTAGATCCAACTTGTCAAGTAAAATTATCTACCTGTGGAATAAGTATTTTTTTCTTAATTCCAGTAACACAAGATTTAAAAAATAAAACTTTTTAAGCTCAAGTCATTTTATCTTTTAGTAGTATACTAACTGTAAACTGAAATGAGAAAAATGTAAACTGTAAAAAACAACACAAAATACATTAAATTACCCACAAGAAAGTGAAATGTAAATGCATTTTTTAAGTATTTAAGTCAATACAGAAAACCATTTGACTAGACCGTATCAACCTACTGACTAAAAATCTGTAATACTTATTGTAGTATAATGTGTACCTATTTACACAGTCTATTTCTATTTACACCAAAAGAAATAACTTTTGTCTGTGTGATTTAACCTTGAGACCCCTGTAGACATGTCAGCTCATGCTTCCCAAATTCATGTTCAACAAATAAATAAATATGAAATTCCTATGACACATAATGGAAAATAAATAAATAAATAAAATAAAAAAATCATCATCTTAAGATTCATCCAAAATTTCACCTCACTCACTCCATTCCCAATGTAACATGTGAACATTTTATTAGAGACACTGTCAGCCATCAACTCCAAATACAGCCCGGAGAAAGAGGGGGTGGAGCTAAGTCTGGAACCACTGGGGTCCTTAACAGTTCCAAAGGTGTGAGCGCGCGACTCCTTAAAATGAGTGATTCCCTGTGACACCCCGAGAGCTCGCACTCTGTTGTCAGGGTTCCTTAATTGCCCCGACATTGGAGGGGACATGCAGAGTGTCTGTATGCTGCCACTCACTGCTGCATGAGACGCTGCATAATATTAAAAGCAAAAACATATCAAATGCTTTTCAGAATGCTCTTGTGTAGCGCCAGTGTCTTTCCCCACGCTGGTCACAATGGGTGACAGTCTGTCTTCTCCAAGGTTACCCAAATTGTGCGTCCGCCTTGCAAGCTAACGACGTGAATTTTTCATGCATCTCTGAATTAGTGGTGACTAAGGGGCTCTTGTCTTTAGTCTCTTGACACACTGGGAGCATGCATATCACCTTATTCCCTCTCCCAATTGCAGCATAAACCGCAAACAAAGCGGCCCCATAATGAACAGCTTGTGGTGCAAATGCAACCCAAAGGGCAGGGGTGTCAAACAGGACAGTTTTTTTTTTCTTGTTTAACTTTATTGAGAAGTGTCAGGCTAACAGTCCCGAGAGGATGAAGGAAGCGCCGAGCCCCACCCAGGACAAACACACTTGAACAATTCTCATAGGCACAGCGCGGTGTATGCATGTGTGTGAGGGGCGCGGAGGAAAATGCAATATTAATTCCCCGCTGTATTATGTCTTAATATGCAGTTCATCTTGACTTTTGCACATGACTTGTCCTGTCATTTGCATAGCCCCTGCCGCCCATTTCCTAATTTCACAGTCATTATCCAGAGAAGTCCTTTTTTCCTCCGAGCGTCGCTAATTTTGATGGACTATTTTGAAGGTCAACCGTCAGCTCTGTCTTATGTGAACTGCCACCGTATAGACTAAAAAATAATTTCACCCAGGCAACAAGCATTCAAAACTAATTCAATTGAGCACGATGCATTTTTTCACATTTAGCAGTTTTAACAGATAACATTTTCCTTTGATTCAACTGTCATTTTTTCTACAGCTATATCTCAAAGTGGTTTTACACTTGTCTCAAGCGTCTCCAGCAGTAACTACAGCTAAAGCAGCCTGCTCCGTGCACAGCTCCGAGAGGCTATTACAGACCCCTGTTTTATTACCCATTACTACTGAGGTCATTAGCACCAAGAGGGATTGTACGCTTTTTAACCTATTGATCAATGTAACTACTACCATTTAATCCTGAGCTGAAGGAGTGAAAATCTGCCTAAGACTAGGGGTCCTATTAAGTAAAAGGTGGGAGGAAAGGGAGAGGGAAGGGGGCTCTTTAGCTAAAAAATATAGCCCTGGCCAGTGTATTATGCCCATTTAGCGCAAAGCACTGCCTCCTCTTAGCTGAGCGGCCTCCCATATGGTGCCCAGGCTTATCTGTGGGATGATGACTAGATGGGGTTTTAGTGTGCAAAAGGCTGTAACTGAGACTACCCAAATATATTTAGTATATTATGAACATGAATAGGAATCAAATAAATGTGGAAAAAAGATAGTTGATAATTTTTTTTTTTTACAAATATCCTATATTATATTTAGATCCTATATATATTTAGATTTATTTAGATATTTAGAGATAGTTCACAACACAACTTCAGGACAACTGAGATTAATTTTAATATTCTAACTTTTTGAGTGTTTACCACATAATCTTAAACACTGGATGAGGCAAGGTCTATTTTGTGTGCATTTGTCTTCTATTTTTCTATACTGAACACTGAAAAAGGGGACTACAAATGTTACAATGCTAATAACTGGAGGGATGCTCACTGTAATCTGCTGCACTGTTAACACCACTGTGAAAAAGAGGACATTCTGAAAATGCCACAAATAGCTGACATGTATGAATTTTGGGGAAGGTGTGGCCCTGGCCTCTCCAGGTGCTCCTCATACATAAACATGGGATGAGGGAGGGACTTTCTCACACAGCTGTGCAGTGACTACAGGCGATGCACTGGGGCCTGCTGCTTGAACACACATGCACACTTCATGCTTCACATGCACACTAACAGACATTCACACCTTAGAGCTTCATATGCACACTAACACACACATCCATACTCCACCACATATGTGCACACTGTAACACAGACGTGCACACTCTGTTTTATGTGCACACTAACACACTAACACACACATCCATATGCCAGAGCTTCACGTGCACGCTCCAAGGATTCACATGCACACTAATACTTCAGGTGCTTCGTCTGTAGCAGCATGTCACATATACGTCCAGACATGTGTACACAATAACACTTCATGGTATAATGATAAACAGAGAAGTATGGGATTTCTTTGCCATCAAATAAAATATGGGATAACAGTATAGCAGATATCATTATGTGTGTATATACCAGTCCAAAATATGACCCAAGGGCCAAATGCAACCCTCAGACTTCCAGGTGAACTGGCCCATTGAAGCATTACTTTCTACTTCAAGTTTTTTAGGTTTTTTTTTTAATCTACTTTAATTAAGCCACTATCAAATATTTTGTGTGTCCTATTGAGAATCTAAGCATGAATAAAAGTCTGATGACTCATTCTAACCTATTATGAATGCACATTGTTAAATTTTTCACTGTACTGAATATCAGTCTATGGTCCTTTATTGGCCCTCCACGTCGTCTAAGTTTTGATATGGGGCCTGTGATGAGAAAAGTTTGGACAACCCTGGTATTGACCATTGATTGAAAATGTATTTATATCCCAAACAAAAATAATTTCAAGTGATTCCTCTATTGCCTTCATTACATATATTGAGAGCTGAATTGTCTAGAGACTATGCCAGCTGACATACTGTACTCTCTGGGCTCATGCCAAAAGTATTAAGGAAGACTGACAACCACTTCATTTATCACATTGATTCCTATGGGCAACGGTTCAAGTTGGTAATCCATGTCTCCAGACTGTGTGAGTAAACTTCTTGAGGTGAGATAATGCAAAGTTACTGTAACAAAGAAAGGCATTGAACCCCTAACCTATTTATTGTGTAACAAAAATGTCTTTCAGAACAATAAGAACAGAACCAAATAAAACAAAGCATAGGTGTGTCTAGTTGTGATATACTGTGTTTAAAGATAACACATAAACTATGTAAAGCATGCAAAATAAATACTAGAAGGGTGAATGAGAATCAAATACACAATCTTTACAGTCATACAAAAAATCCATTTCAATACAGTAAACATATTGTATTACCTAAGGATCGAGACAAAGTACAAAAAGGAGACTATTTTCTACAAGTCTACAAAAGTCGGTAAAATGACAACCACTATACCACGATGCAGTTGTATGACTGAGAATGAAAAATAGCAACACAGGCGCAGCTTTCAGACCTAAAAGACATCAGAAAAACTCACTCTGCAGGAAATAATTGGCTGAGAATATTATACATAAAGAATCCAACAACAAAAATAAAAGTACACTTATCTGTGCACTGTTAAACTAATGAAAAGTCTTCTTGATCTTTTTACTATGTCTCAGTTTAGATTAGATTCAACTTTTTTGCTCTTACACTTGTACAAGTATAGTGGAGTGTTTAGCATCCAGCCAGAGTTCAAACACACAAGTACACACAAGTACTACATACAACAGGAATATTATGAATCTCCATTGAATTTAAGATACAATGCATTTCATAAGCTATTAAGATTTAGGTTTAAGTACTCCTGTAATCTAACAATGAACATAAGATTTACTTTATTAATATTATTTATAGAAGGAAAAGGAAAAGGAGGAGAGGTAAATAAGTCTAATAAGAAAAGTGACCACCCTGCCGCTGCTCTTGTATGAGACACTTGACATGAACGTAAGACAGGGACAGACACAGAGGAATAACAGAGAGAGAGCTACACGTTTCACTGTCCACCTCTCCACCGCATATCTGCTTTCAAGAGAAGAGAAAACATATATAAGGAGAAATTATAAAATTTTCATCAGCGCTGCCTGGGCTCCTCTTGTTTTGGAGGGGCATCAAATGGAATATAGAAGTGAACAAAAAGACTGGTAATAACCCGAAGAATTGGCAAGTGGTGTGTATTTGACACCGTTGTTTTACCTTCGTCTACAGTATCTAGACCTCCCTCTCGTCACTGAAAATGTGGCAAAATGAACATTTCAGTGCTGAATGTAATTAATCCGAGACAAGGGAGGGGGTAGGCAAATTCAAATCTAAATATCTCAGACAG